CTTGTGAGATCTAGAACTCTCCAAATTTTAAAATTAGCTGCATACCAAAGTCAGCATTTATCTCCCTTATAGATATCCATGGTTAGCCATGGGAAGCCCATAAGATGGGTATGTATGTAACAGTATCCTCCCACTTCTGTTTCCACAACAGTTGGTGTGAAGATGTTTATATGCTTTTATCCTGGAATATGTTCCTGACTTCACTAGAAGATACAGAGAGCTGCCCTCTCCTTTAATGTATTTAATTCCTTTTAACACTGTCCAAGTTGGTGGGTCTTACTACATCTTGCAGTGACAGAGTTTACCTGTGTTATATGGTGTTTTATCTGTGTGATAAAATGATATAATCATGATGATTAATATAATTAAATCCCAAAATTCAGAGGCAGAAAAACTTTTTTGATATCATGGCTTTCCTTCCTCATATTTCTACTAAGTTAATAAATTCTGACTATTGTAGGGACACTGTTCCATTTCTTTGATAATACTGGCTGCTCTTTTCTATACTTTTTTCAGTTCTACAATATCCTTTTTTTTTTTTTTTTAGTGTGCTGATGTAACTATACTTAAAAGGCAGGGGCAAATTTTCCTGTGGATTGTCGTATTGATCCAAGAAAGAGAAGATTGGAATTTTTTCAAAACTTTATCCCTGTGTAAAAATCTCAAATGTTCCTTCCTAAGCTAATAAACTCAATAGCAGAAATGTACAGTTAGTAGGTGGCCTCAACAGTTGCTTTGAGTATGCTGAAAGGTTCTCTTCCTGTGGAAAAAGCAAAATCATATCTGTCCAGCATGCTTGAAATACTCAATAGTTCAACAGATTGTATTTTATTTACATGGACGGAATGATGTATGTGAAAAACTTGGTTTTTTTAACTATTGACCCAGCTAAATTGCCTTCGTGCTAGCAATGAGATACTTAGCAAAGGCCACAACTGCAGTTGAGGTAGAAATGTTGACTGAATGTATGTCTTTAAGGTTAGCCAAGGTTCAGAAGGTCATTCCTGGGCCATATTATCCATCTCAGGCACACATGGACCATATGACCATGTTTTTTATTTACAGCCATAAGCTAGGAAGGAAACGAAGAGATTCCAAGGTAGGTGAAGGACATATTAGAGCCAATAGGATGAAAACCTTCTGACCTACAACCTAGTGGTTCAACTTTTTGATAAAGGCTGATCCAAAAGAGACTAGATGTTCATGTTTCTTTGGAAAGAAAAAAAGAAAATAGCCCTTATCAACCACAGGCATGAAATCCTCAAAATTTTAGTAAGCAAACAGAGGATTAAACCTGAAGTCCACATAACTCCATATCAGCTGCTTTCAGAATACTGTACCTATAAGTAGGATATTAAGAAACAGCATGCTACTGTTTCTGCAGAGGAACCAGCTGATACTCAGGTATGCATTACCTGAATTGATCAGATAGCTTCATATAGTTGCCATGAATCAGGCATGTCAAACTCGTGACGTCATGTGACGTCGTGCAACGTATCGGAGCTTTTTCGCCATTGCCGGCAATGGGGTGGGCGCGTCTCCAGTATGATGAAACCGGCCTACGGGCTGGCAGTTTGGCACCCCTGCCATGAATGAAATTTAGCCATTCACAGAACTTCTCTCCATGGAATTTCTCTCTCTTTTAAAAGCCAGATAAGGCAGTGGGGAGAGAAGCAAATGACCAGGCTATATATGATGGTTTTTATATTACCTTGTCCATCAGCATATGCTGATAGAATCTGGACAAATGATTCAAGAGTAAAACAAGAATACAAGAGTTTTGTAGCAGAAATGTGATCAGTATAGCTGAAATTTGTTTGGGCTAAAGGTAGGGTGCAATGGTTTGGTAATATTAATCCAATGCAATAACAGGGTACAACAAAAACAATATTACTCATTTTCACTTTTTGGAAAACAATAATAAATATAGGGATATTTTTTCTTTTATTCTTAAATCAGTTATAGAAATATTGAGCACATCCTCTCTCTTGAAGATATTTTTAGAAAGGACATTAGTATACAAAAAAGGAACTTGGAAGACTTCATATATTCTAGAATACAAATTTCATATATTTTGCCATTGGCTGTCTTGGCTAAGATTTATGGAGCTGAAGATATAGATTATCCTTAAGGTAAGACTGCTACATCAAGGTAGTGCTTCAGAGACAATGTGTGACCTTCTATAATGGGGGGGGGGTATCAAACATTTTCAGGCTGTTAACAAAAAGATTCCTGGACCAGATTCAAAGTCAAAGCTATAAAAGTAAAAAAAAAAAAAAAGAGGCTGTATTCAAGTTATTGTTTCCCCTTAGTCTTTCACACAATCCTGTCAAGTTTGGAACACAGCTTGAAATGCTCTATTACTAAACTCAAATGCGCAAGCAATCTTGATAGCCATTATGACCAAAAGTGAAGATAACTAGTATAATTTACATAATATGCTGGTTGATCCTGCCTGATGTCACTATCCATTTAATATTTAGGATGTGTGGACTTCAATTTCCCATGTTCTCCAGATAGCCATGCTGGTTAAGGAATTTTGGGAGTTCAAGTCCACGCATCTTCAAGTTGTCATGGATGAGAAACAGTGACTTAAGGCTTTAAGGAGAGGAAGCAGCAGAGTAGTGCTTGAAGACCAGTGAATGGACAAGAAGTATACCTAATCAAGCACAAGTACGTGCACATGTTCAGGCCTTTTCTGTGATAAGAGAGGTGAAATGTCATTAGTTTTCCTCTTTTATGGCTTCAGCAAGTTGTCATCCAGCAGCTTGATTCAGGTGGCTGATTCCATTAGGAGAAAAACAGCATCAAACATTCCTGCCCAGGCACTGTGATTAAATAGCACAACATTTTGTCAGTAAAGTCACTCAGAGTCACTCAAGTTTTGACTCTATGTGACCGGAATCTGGAGGGATGCCTGGAGCATATCTTGCCTAGATCTCTGGGATTCCTTTTGGTTTGGGTGGACAATGGAGTGGACAGATTGCTCTCTAAGAAACCCTGTACTATTTGCAGGTTGGATCCTACCCCTTTTGGCTCCTTCATGCAGCTGGAGAGTGGGGTAGTTTTCTGGATGGGGGAATTGTGATTATTGTCTCATTGGGGAAGGGGATGCTTTGAACAAGGCTATAGTGTGTCCCCTCCTTAAGAATTCCTTCCTGCATCCAGAGGTGTTAGTCAACTACTGCCCACTCTTCCCATTTTCAAAAAGGCTGTTGAGACCCTATGGGGAGTCAAGTACACAGCACCTTAGAGCAGGGGCCCCCAACCCCTCGTCTGTGGACTGGCACCGGGCTGTGGCATGCTAGAAACTGGGCCATCCATGGGATGCAGGCAGCATGTGAAACCATGCCCCCTGTGGTCCATGGAACCAGTCCCTGGTCCCCAAAGATTTGGGGACTATTGCCCTGAAGGAAATAGTTTATCAGGATCTTTTAAGAAAAGGCTCAGGTCTATGCATGGAATGGAAACTGCATTGGTCAGGACCTGGGTGGGGAAGGAAACTTTTCCTGACCCTGCTAGACCTCTCATTGATGTGCAATATGGCACCCTTCTGGGCCACCTGCAGAAGTTGGGGATTGTAGGCATGGTATGAATCATTTTCAGGTTTCATATTATAACATGCAGATGATACATCGCAACCCCAGGCCAGACTGGTGATACCCTTAAAGTCCTGTTTCAGTACTTGGAAGCTATAAGGGTCTGGGTCGGACAGTCCACTCTTAAACTGAATGCAAGCAAGTCAGAGTTAGGTAGAGTGGCATTATCCCTGTTTAAAAGAGATCTGTAATTTGAGCAGCCTTCTGGATGTGCAACATCTTGACTTATAACCACAACTGAGAGCATAATTGTCATCGCTGAGCAATGAGTCATGTCCAATTTTATGACCTTTTTTTGTGCCATGGTTGTTAAGCAGGTCACTGTTAGCTGCTAAGTGAATCATGCAGTCAAGTGAATCCAACTTCCCCCATTGAGTTTGCTTGTCAAAATCCAGCTGGGAAGATCACAGATGGCTTTCACATGACCCCATGACACTGCAGACATAATACATGCTGTTTCCAAATACTCCCAATTTTGATCACGTGACCATGGAGATGTTATGATGGCCTAAGTGTGAAGACCTTTCATAAGTCATTATTTTCAGTGCCATTGAACCGTTGCTAAATAAATGGCTGCAAGACAAGGACTACACATAAAGGTCATAACCAGGAGCACTTTTCCTAATTTTGCTTGTGCATCGGCTGTGATACAGCCCGGGGAAGGAGGACCTTGATACAGTAACTCATGCCTTTGTCAGATAACTGAAACCTGCTCCATATGGACTTGCCTTCAAAGACCTTTTGGAAATTGCAGTTGGTTTGAAATGCCCTGAGACGTGCACTAGTCTGCCTTTGACAGTGGGACCAGTTACCATTGCTGTTGGTCCTTCAGTGGTTATTAGTAAGCTTTGGGGTGCAATTTGCTGATTGCTAACCTACAGAGCCCCATATGATTTATTGCAGTTATCTGTAGGACCATATTTCTTACTGGAATAAGCCCAGCCAGTCCTATCTATCCCCAGACGTTGCTAGCAGTTTCTTCGCTTTGCAGAGGTAAAGGGGGCCTGAGACTCAGCAGCATCACTTCTCAGAGGTAGCTTGAGAACAATCTCCCAGGGGAGACCCAGTTGAGTCTCTTATGGACCGCTCCCCATAAGCAGTTCGCAATGGAGTTTTCTGGGCTATGATACTGCACCGGGTTACTGGGTTCAGGTTTAATTTTAACTGTGTCTTTTAACGTTTGTGTGATTTTGTCTTTTGACATGGTCTGAGACTTCATAATTGCAATGGTCTTTAAATGTGATAAATATCAGTCTTCAGAACTGTGCTGGTGCGTAGTTTCTCCAATATTTTGCCTATAATTGCTTTAAAAAGTTTTGAACAGGTTTCTTAAATAAAACTTTATTTCTATAGAAATAAATTTATCCAGTTATGAACCCCAAGGATCCGCAATTATAATGCTTGCTTTAAAAAAAACTAAGTTTAATATAAGAAACATTTTTAAAAGAACACTTTATAAATAACTATTATGACTTTATAAAGTTAATTATACAACATTGAATTTAAGAGATTATAAAAAGCCGATGTGCAAGCTTTAAATGGAATTAGTCTCAGCCTTTAAAAGTGGTAAATTTTGTAGGGAGATCGTCTACTGGATAAACAGTGGGGCCGGTCTTCATTATTGGAGGTCCATTTAAAAGCTGCCAATCACAATTCCGGGCCAACTCTACTGTGAATATTTTGAGAAGAAGTTTGGCAAACTCTTTGCCCACACAGCTTCTCAAGCCTCCTCCGAAAGGAATGAAACTAAATCGTGATGCATCTTCTGGGAAAGGAGCCATGAAACGGTCAGGATTGAATTCTTCCTTGTTGGTGAAAAGCTCAGCTACACTGTGGGTGTCACTGATGCTATATATAACATTCCAGCCTTTTGGAATCTGGTATCCCTATGAGAAACAGACACATCATGAGACAAGCCAGCGTTAGATGCATTTGCTTCTGCATTTGCTTCGTATAACCAGCCACTTTATAACCTGTCCATCAATGCTTCCTAAGAGCATATGAACAATTGAACAACAAGTAGTTGAAAGAACTGTTATAAAGATGATTTACCATTATAAAGATAATTTATCTGGAAGAAGAGGGCAATTCTGTTGAACTAATTATCTAAATATTGCAGCTCAGGTAATTCTGACATTTTATTTCCCCAATGCCTTATACTTTTGTAAAGCTTGAAGTTTACCCAGGTTACTGACCCCTGCACTTATGGAAGGAAGGTCAGTGGGGCAAAGACTGACATTCAATGATTACTGTTAGCAAGTATGGTGTACAACAGCCTTCTGCAGCTTGGCTGAAGGCCATGTTGACTGAGGGATTCCCGAAACTGCAATTTCAACATAGAAAGAAGGCACCAGGTTGAGATGATTGCAATTACTAGAGTCACATAGAAAGGTGGCCATTTTGAACTTTAATACACTTTACTACAAAGGCATTGGAGAAGAAATTTCTAAGTCTCCAGGCTATACTCTAACCCACCAAGAATGACTCATGCAGAGAACCAAGCTTCTTTGTGTGGTTAGTCTTCGGAATTGATTACTTTTTGAGAGATAGACATAATTTCAAGTATCACTTCCTAAGCACATACAACAAGCATTTAGGAACTACTAAATACAAGTAAAGTAATCTGCTCAGAGGTGAATTCCTGGCTCGGTAGGAGGTGATACCCCATCCAACATGCATTTGTGTATTTGTGTATGTGTGTGTGTGTGTGTGTGTGTGTGTTTAATTATACATAATGCTAACACCTCATTAAGCCACCTATTATTTGTCTATTCTTCATCAGTGAATGGATTGCCAATGAAGAAATTTATTCTAACACAATTAAACAAATTATGGAACCCTAGAAGATATCAAACCAGTGGAGAAGAAAGTCTAAAGAAGAAAACATTCTAAAGCCTACTTAATGTGTCTTTGTGTTCATTGCAACACAATAAATATGATTTTCTTGAATATTTCTATTGCTTTCCATTTGTGAAGTAGATTTTTGAAATCCCCAAGAAATATTTAGTAGAGGGTTAGGGTTGTCCCTTCATTTAATTCCACAAGAATCACTAGCCATGATATTGCCAAAACTACCATCTCTCTGTCAAAACTGACACTTGCCACCAGAATAGGAAAATTTGTTTTCAACAACTGCCCTACACCATTGCACAATGGACTTTAGGAGGAAGGACCTCTTTGAACATTTATTTTTATTATAGTGGCAAGAGGCATTTATTGCCCAATGGGCTGAATATCTCTTCTTCTCCTTATGATATAATGATATATTCAGCTTAGTTAATAACATTCTTAGTTAGTGCCTAAGGAATACAGGTGTGCACAAAACAGACGAACGTGTTTAATTTTGTGCCCTGGAAATTTGGCTGAACCATTTCAGATCAGCCATGGTTCAGCACCACTGAAACATAAATTCAGTTCAGATTGTTGAGGCAAAACAAAATCTGAACAAGTACTATATATGGCCAGAACACTGTCCATTTCCTTCTTTCCTTTCACCAGATTGCAGCCCTAAATTTTCCCAGGGTCTTTCCTCACCTAAGCCGTTGTTATTAACGGCCCAATGCTTATTCCCACTTCCTCTGACCCAGTCACTTCTTCACAGAGCAAATCCACTCATAGACCACAAAAGGGTCCCATTTCATTCCATGCATGAGCTGAAACATCCCAAACACCATCTCTTGATTCAGGCCATGGATCAGCCAAACAAGCTGTTCCATACATAAAATATTTCAGACCTAGAAGTATTAAAATATATTTTAAAATTTAAAAGTCTTTCTAAATCATCAGCCTTACACAAGAGATGCATTTAGGAAATCACAAACTTCATGATCTCTTACTTACATTGAGCTCAAAAGTTTTGAGGGCTACCCTGAACCCCCCTGGAACTGGCGGGCTGAGTCGGAGAGTCTCTTTGACAACACAGCCAGTATATTTCAGCTGCTCCAGGACTTCCATTCCCAAAAGCTTCTCTTGACTGCAATTGCCCAACAATCCCTAGAAGCAGAGGATATATCATGATAAATATTAGAAGAGATGTAAAGCAGAGGCTGATTTGACTAATAGAAATTCCAAAAATATGCAGCATCTCTCAAACAAGTAATTCATGGAGGAAGAAACCCTCGCAGACTAAACCAAAACATCACCAGTATTTTCTGTGCACAAATCTAGTTTGATTTACTTTTTTTTTCTTTGCTTCAGCCTTCCTGCTACATTGCATTTTTCTTCACAAGTGGAGAAGATTTCTCATTGGGTTTCCTGGAATACTGCAAAGCTATGTACACATCCAAGAGGCTAGATAGTATTTTGCATAATTTGAAAACAGAGCGAAAGATTCCATATAAATTGCATAGGTTACTGTATTGTTTATAATTATATGGTGAGATTAAGCCATCTATTTAGTTTTAAAAAAACTTGAATATATTTGTATGCATACACACGGTCCATGCTAAGGACCTCCTGTCAACTGCAGAGGCCCCACTGATTATTTTGATGAAAACTGACTTCATATTTTTACCATTTTGAAGCTGGAAACACATGGCCACTGTCATTGTAAGCCCTAAATATGGGCAGGTTATATTTTTGAAAGCACAAAGAAATCTCAAATTCCACTCCGCATGCCACATGATCATAATCAATTTGCAACCCTCTAAAGACTTAACTGTGACCCTCAGCCAATTAAAAGTAGTCATATTTGATAAATAATATCTGGCCTGGTTTAGTCCATGATTAAAATTAAGTTAAAAAGCTACAGCTACCCACTACCCGGATCTGTGCTTTTTGAGGGCCGGGTCATTCTGCTTCATGCCCTGTCCAAGCTTTTTGCCTAGAATAGACCTTGAAAGCAAGACTCACCTTCTCTTGCAATTCCTTTCTCACTTTTTGTAACACTTTAGGGTGAAGGCTGAGGTAGGTAATCAGAGATGTGGCTGCACTAGCTGTGGTCTCATGCCCGCCAAAGAGAAGTTCGGTTGCAGATTCCTTGAGCTCCTTTAGAGGAAAGAAACAAAGAAAGTGATCAGGTTGTATTTTGCACAACAAGATACTTATGAATCCAGTTCTTTGGGCATGAGAGTCATACCTAAACGTCTGCAGGTAAAAGTGCTTTTTTGGTTGGACATAAACCTCTTTTCCATGGCTTCACCTCCAAGAGCTTTTCACGGTGGATGCAGATACCTTCCTCCTATTCTCATCTAGCCACATGTCATCCATCAATCAGCCTCAGAATTTTTCAGGCAAATTTCTCTCCATTATACAGGTAGTCCTCAACTTACAACCACAATTGAGCTCAACGTGAGACTGTTAACTGAGCTTTGCCCCATTTTACAATTTTTTTCTTGCCACAGTTGTTAAGTTAGTTGTTAAGTGAGTCTGGCTTCCCCATTGACTTTACTTGTCAGAAGGTTACAAAAGGTGATCACATGACCGCGGGACACAGTGAGGTTTAAACAGGCAACGAATCTGACCCGGAAACTAGTAAATCAGTGGTTGCACTGAGATAATCGAAGGCCTCTAAGCACGTTCACACTAAGTTCCCTCCAATTGGCTCTTAATGGTCAATCTTGCTCTGTACTGTTTTTATCTTTAACAACACACAATCTTGCACTTATTTCCAACTCAGAAGCGAGCCTTACAAGTACACAGATGATTGCACAATCAACCTGAGGAGGGGTTGAAATTCCTCACGGTGCTTGGCGTCTCTGGTGAAAAAGCACATGCAACTCCTGCCCAGGATGTTTTCGTGTACAGGTAGTCCTCAATTTACAACCACAAAGGAGCCCAAAATTTACACTGCTAAGTGAGAAATTTAAGTGAGTTTTGCCCCATTTTATGACTTCTCTTGTCACATTTGTTAAGTGAGTCACTGCAGTTGTTAAATTAGTAAAATGATTAAGTGAATCTGGTTTTCTCATTGACTTTGCTTGTCAGAAGGTTGCAAAAAGGGATCACGTGATCCCAGGACACTGCAACGGTCATAATTATGAACCACTTGCCAAGCATCCGAATTTTGATCACGTGACCATGGGGATGCTACAAGGGTCATGTGAAAAATGGTCATCAGTCACTTTTTTCAGTGCCTTTGTCATTTTGACTGGTCACTAAATGAACTGTTGTAAGTTGAAGACTATCTGTACCTTTGTTTATTGGAATGAGCCACAAATAAGGACATTTTTCCCTGCAATCCATTTCCTGCATTCTCTTATACACCTCTACATTTGCAATTCCTAGTTTAAAAAATGAAGACGAGATAGATATGCTTAATTATTACCTAACCCTTGGGATCCCTTAAAGAGAATGTAGTTTAGGGCAGAGGTCCCCAACCACCAGTCCGTGGACCAGTACTGGGCCATGGCCTGCCAGCAACCAGTCCACATGAACAAGCAAAGCCCCATCTGCAGGATGCAGGCAGCACACAAAACCATGCACCCTCCAGTCCACAGAAAAACCTCTCTCCAGGGAACTGGTCCTTGTTGCCCAAAAGGTTTAGAAACGGGGACTCCAAAAGAAAAAATTAAAACTAATAGATTGCACTCCCATTAAATTTCATGCTGGTTCTTTCTGTGACAAATGATCCACTTATGTCTAAGGACTGATAATATCAGTCTGGTTTTCCTACATATAGCATACTAGAGCCATATTATTGCACTAACTATCCCATAATAATCAATTCTTAGAATAGGTTGGTCTCTCTCTCTCTCATATACATACATACACACACACACACACACACACACAGACATTGTTCCCCATGGTTCTTCACTAGGAGAGGAAAGAGAAGACTTGGTAGTGAGAAAATTACCGAAGTCAGGGACAAGCTCACCACTTAAAAATGAATTGCAGTCTAACAGATCTAAAAGATTACTTTGTTCTAAATTAACTTTCTGCCCTCAGTTATGGTGGAAAACTATGTCCAAGTCAAGCTGAAGAATTGAAGGCTGCCTTATCATTTATCTAAGGCAATAAAATCTCTTGGGCCAATCCTGACCTTACTTAGGAATCCTCATTGTGAACAGCAGTGGGGGATGAGAGAGAGAATTCCATTGGGGATTTTTTCTCCCAATATGATGGCCCTAATCTGGTTTAGATCTTCACATCTCGCTTGGCCTTCAGCTGAATGCACAGAGCAGAAGGCAGTTTCATAGTCAGAGAATCATGCTTGCAATATGTAAAGGCTAAGAGCAGGAATGTAAAAATAGAAGTGAAGATAGTAGAGATTAGAAGGTGGGGAAAGCAGCCAAAGAAAAATTGGCCAATAGTGAAGATGTTTGGATAAGCCAATGGTCATTTGAAAGCAGAAAGGCCACCATCTGTTTGCCAGAGCAGGAAAGGAACAAGGAAAACGTGAATGTAATGGAGTGCAATTGAATGGCAATTCCATTAAAGATACGGGGGAAGGAATGTTGGAGGCAGGGAAGGGATAAAGTGGGTCAACAAAGAGGTGGAGAAATTATCATTGAAGATTATATGGTCCTTGATGGAAATGAAGCACTTGCAAAAATAGCTTCCTTTTTAATGTATTGTCCATGTAATTCTTCTGCCTGAAAGTCTGTTTGGTCACCTGAGCTCCCACACCAACTCTAAACTGGGACAGTTTATACCTACATTTGTTCACTGAAGTTTAGAAATAGGTATCACTAGGGGAACTGAAGTTTGTCTCCAGCCTGCTCCCCTCTCCACATATTTCTCCAAGAGTTCTCATCAGTGAACCTGACAATCATAAAACGCTCAATCAATATTCCTTAAGTGCTCATATTGATTGGGAAGCACATCTTCCAAAACTTCCGTGTCTTTTAATATAATTGCAAACATTTCAGGACCATAGACTTTCTTTTTCATAGAAGGGTGGGGTTTTTCCATGGTTAATTGACCCCCATAGACCAGGGGTCTTCAAACTTGGCCCTTTTATGACTTGTGGACTTCAACTCCCAGAATTCTTCAGCCAGCTTTGCAAAGCTGGCTGAAGAATTCTGGGAGTTGAAGTCCACAAGTCATAAAAGGGCCAAGTTTGAAGACCCCTGCCATAGACTATTAAACTGGGCTCATGGTCACTGAATCATAACCAGCCATGCATCTGTGTTGAAATAATAAGTTAAAACAAGGTTGGTTACTATTCACTCATCCCCCCCCCCCAAAAAAAGCTCTAAGCAATGAATTTAAACTGAATTCAAGCAACTGAAAGCAACGTCGCATTATAATCCTTTTCAGATTGGGAACCATTGTATCCTATAAATACTAAATTAGAAAGAATGCAAGTTATATAGGGCTTGTTTCTGAGAAAATGTGCACATGATCACCTAATGAACATCGGCACAAAGTTGAAGAAAAACAAGAGAGCAAGAAAAATCTAGGATCTCTGCATGCTGAAAATCTTGGCACATAGCAAGGAGTTAGGTCTCCAGGATTGCACTTAATGAAAAAAGCCCATCAGAAGACAAGCAACTCCCTCTTCTGGACTTTAGTCAGGATAAGAGCTATTTCAAAGCATTGAAGTGAACCTGGAGAAAACACCATTTTTGAAAAGAAAGAAACAAACATCTACATCTGCTTCAGGATTAGACCTCTGGAAATGCATACATCCAGTCATCTGATAGGAAACTAGAATTGCCAGATGCGCACAGGCAACAGATCAGCGGGTATGACTTTTACAATTACAGGAATAGAGAGAAAATGTTATGTGATGCTCCAAAAAAGAAATGTATCTTTCTAATTAATTTTCCCACCCACAATAAACTATAGGTTTTTCTGGATCTCAAGCCTACTATGGCATTTCTATACCTGGAAGAAGTTATGTCTCCATTACTTTGGGCTCTGTTGTGCAGCCATGACAGCTATATTCTCCTTCAACCTAATTTATAATTAGCAGATATCCTGAAGACTTGCATACAATACAAAATTATTTTCCCCCAACTCAGTGTCAGCCAAACATCTTTTCCTGTTTGACCAAAAGGAGAAACTACACAGAACAGTCACCATCCACTTCAAAGAGTTGGACTTTGGAGACTTCATGGTGCTGAAAGACTCACCTGCATGTTGAGCTGTTCTCCTCTGCTTTGGGTGTGCTCTATCAACAGCTGCAACACATCTTTATAACCATTGGAGGGCTCCTTCTCAGCCAATTTCACTCGAATGATCTCTTCAATTTTGGCATGGATGACATTCCGTGCTTTCAAACCCTGGAAACAGAGCAGGATTGTTTTGAGTCTTTAATACAGGACTGTGTTCATGATCTGAGAAACACAGCTTTTCCCCTAAAGCAACTTTGGCAACTTTTAAGACTTGTGAACTTCAATTCCCAACTGGCTGGGGAATTCTGGGAGTCGAAATCCACAAGTCTTCAGGTTGCCAAGGTTAGACATCTCTGCCTACAGTAGTTCTATCCCATCACCTAAGTTTATATAGAGAGCCAAACTTCACGGGTTTACCTTGTATAAGCCACTGAAAGGCACATAAATTGGCAGGGAGAAAAGGTTGCGGATCATCTCTTCAAAGGTGTCCACCAGCTGCTGCTCACTCTTGGAACCTGCCTGATTGGGCTGGAATCCCAGTAGAATGCGCATTGCAATCCGGAACATGAGGCGCTTAACTTCGGGGTAAACCAATAGGCAAGAGCCACTAGCAGAACTAACCAAGAGCCATCGCTTCAAGCAAGCACACACCTCCTCCTGGATGACTGGGGTATAATGCTCCAAGGCTTCCCGGGAAAAAGCTTTCATGATGACCTGAAAGGGAAAAAGGAGGGAATATTACTATTAATCGCCTCAGTTTGATGGACGTTTGGAGGCTACAGCTGAATTATTAAACCTATCCAAAGTCTCCATCGGATGAATGGTATGGGGTTCTCTTTCATTTTCTAAAGCTGGACTAATTTAATCATTTAACATGTTTCTTAAAGAGGCAGTAAAAGCTTCAGTATGGTTAAGAGAAAAACCAGCTGAATGCACCTTCAGAATCCAAATGGCTTGAACAATGAGATTATAACCCTGAGTTCATATACTGAAATGAAAATCCAGCTGAACTCAAGTAGGCTTTTTCCAGATCAATGCAGCAAGGATAAAACTAGATGTCTCTAAGGAACCTAGGTGACTTCAGGAACTAAAAGCAATAATAACGTGTTCTCCTTTTTAAGGGAATCATTTATGTCCCAAAGAGCAGTGGTTTGTTTTGAGCTAAATAATTGATTTTTTCTAAGAGTAGCTAACATGGATTTGGCTTTTTATAGGGAATTCAGTTCAGTTCAATCATTTCTGAACTCAGAATCCAAATTCTGAACATATTTGCTTATCACACAACTGCATTGGTGATCTTAGGTTCTGGGAGGTGGGAAATAGAATAGATCCTATGTTTGTCTGTCTCTGTTTCCAGGACCTTTGCCATGGGTGAGGACTCTTCCTCAAAACTAAGCTAAAATGCTATCTTCTACTCCTTGAGCTAAGAAAAAAAATCCAACATAAATTGAATTGTTTCTCCTATACACACACAAAATTCCCATTCTCTGTTCTGCCAAGGAAATTAGGCTCACAAATGGTGCTATTTTTTATATACCTTCTTACATACACCCCCCCCCTTTGCAGATCAAATTAAGGAGAGGGATTGGTGGATTTCTTTGTTTCCCCTACTAATGGGGAAAAGAACGTACCAATCGCTCTCTCTATGGTATCATGGGGTTCATTTAAGTTGGTTGTTTTGAGAGATGGGCCCTTTTAAGCCAAAATGGACATGGAGATCAGTGCCCAGTAGGCAGAGGCTAAAACAGACAACAGGCACTAGATAGGACCCAAACTCTGACAATACTCTCAACCTAATGTATCAGCAAAGCATGCCAGATAGAATCAATCACAAAAATTGCATTTGGGATAAGATGCAGTAAGCCATTTTAAATCCAAACATCAACAAGTGACTTTAGATATGAACTGGGGATGAGTTGGAGGTAATATAACAAGGACATGATGGAAAACATGTTGCCAGGAGATGTGTATGCAAATAGGGACAATTTATCCATTCATTCCCGAGACAGCTCAGGATAAAGCCAGCATAAAAACTGTCCCCTGTTGCTAGTCCTTACTCCACTTTTACTTCATCATCAGGACCAACACTCCTGATCACACCCACAAAGATCAGCTGACCTCATCCTTAAGATAGTAGACAATAAAATCTTACACACCTTGAAACTGTAATGTGAAACTGGCTGCAAGGGAGAAAGGCTTTTGTTCCTTTGTGGCCTCTAAGGTTTAGCAAGATCCATGTTCACAATATCTTCTGCATGATGTATCTGTGCAATATTCATGCAACTAAACTGTTGATTAATAAAAGTTCTCAGAACCGGCCTGGGAGACTTTATCTGCCATCAGACAAAAATCTCAAAAACATGAGATTGAATCACTAGATGGACTAAAAAGGAACAAGAGCCAAGAAACTACTACTTTAAAATTGACACACCTATGAGGAGAACTTCAGCAATTTTCCCCAGCCAGGACAGAGAAGGTCAGTGTGGTCAAGATATGGAGACAAAACTTCTCTCTTTTCAAATCTTCTACAACTGCCAGTGAGCAGAAAGCGATTACATGGACTTTTGCCCCTTTTTTGGCACACCTTCCAACCAAGGAAAGGAAATACTTTGGAAAGGGCTGGGGGGGGATGTCATAGTAAGTCTTAAGGTGTGGTGGGTCGGGGCGCCAACCCCTCTTTATGGCCTCTAGATTGCCCCCGTTGCTTCTGAAAAAGAGTTCTCAAAGGCGCCATTCATTTTATTGGAGCCTGTTTTATGGGGAAGGACCTTCCCCAGATGCGTTTTAAGGTACTCCTCTGGGGTTTTCTCTTCCCTTCTTCCCTCCTCCTTTTAAAACGCACCCTACAGCCCGTTTACTCCGAAGCAGGCCCGTCTGATGAATACCGGGCCTTTTTTTCTTTTGGCTAAAGTTACAAGCTAAAACATGCATCGCACACATAAAAAGTGGGGTTTAGCCAGCTCTCCTTAAAACTTCACTCGCCTTCAGTGTAAAGGTTTTCATCTAAGACTCGGGTCCTTTGGTTGTCCCGCCACAATCACATACATACATACATACATACATACATACATACATACATACATACATACATACATACTCCATCTCCTCTCTCATAATTAGGAGCCCAGATCCCGCGACAAACCTTCCTCCCTCTGTAAGATAGCGGCCGACCTCTTTTTCCCACCTGCTAAACTTCCCGGCCGGACCAGGGGCTGCTTTGCCACGCAAGGGAAGGAGGTCCGTTTTCCACCCCACTCACCTTCTTGCGGTGCTTGTGCTGGCCGTCGTGCAGGCTGGAGAGGCAGCCGGAGCCCAGGATGATGCGCACCGAAGCCGGCCAGTGCACGGCCACCAGCCGGTGTTCCCCCAACAGGATGTGCCGCACGTTCTCCACCCCCATCACCCGCACCGTGGGCCTCCCGAAGAGGTGCGTCTTGTAGATGTGGCCGTATCTCCGCCGCTTCATCGACAGGAATTTCCGACGCTGGGGAGGAAAGGGCGAGCGGCGGAGTTGAGCCCGGGCGCTCGGGTCGGGTCCCGCTCCCCCAAACGAGAAGGCGCGGTGCCTGCCGCCCTCCTCGCCTTACCTGCAGCACCAGCTGGAGAGTTTCTCCCAGGAAAGGCAGCCCCATAGTGCCCGGCGGCAGCGGCAAGGGGCAAGCGGGATCGCGGCCCCGCAGGCAGTAGAGCTGCCAGAGTTTCACCGAGGCCAGGCAGAGCAAGAGCGGCACCAGGACGAGGGTGCCCACGGCGCTGGCCAGCAGAAGGGAGAAGCCCATGCTCGAGCGGAGGCGGCGGCGGCAGCGGGCACCTGCCTCCTCCCTCTCGCCGAGCGACGGACCGCAACGGCTAAGCCCCGCTTCGGGGACCCCTTTTATACCCATCCTCGCCCCCAGGTCGCTGCCCACTTTACCTTGGTCCGGACGATCAATTAGTTCATCCAAAGTTCAGCTTTAATTGCTGCTGGTGGCCAGCAAGCTCCGCCCCGTCGTTTCCTCCACCCCGCCCTGCCCTGGCTTCAAGCCTTTGGGGGGGGGGGGTTTGCGCCCTCCCGTCCCCGCCCCTTCGCCAAACCGCGGGCCCGAAGCGGGCGAGGTCTCCTTTCACTCGGGCCCGCTAACAGCTCCGGGCGATCAGCTCCTGGGGGTGTGCGGATACTCCTTCTGAAGAATTAAAGGGAGCTCTGCAGCTCGGATCCCAAGGCGGCTGTTCTCGGAGCCGTCCTCTTTACACCTGGAGAAATCGGGCATCTCGCTCGAGCCTCAGGGCTGCGTGGGAAGCAGGTGCGGCGGGGCGTTCGCGCGTTTGCTCGCAGGATCCGCCGGTTCGGCCTCGCCGTGCCATCCTCAGTGTTTCGACCCCGGAGTCCGCCCTTGCAACTAGAAACCAAGCCATAGGAACAGCGACTAAACGAGGGACTGGCAATCCAAGTAGAACAGGGTAAAGCTAGCAGCGTTGATTCGGAATCTACCGCAGTCTCTTGTTCCCTGGTTGGGTTCACGCGTTCTGTGGCATGGTTTGGTTGGGCTTAGCGCGGGTGTAAAACTGAAGCCGGTTACGGTAGATTTAGGGTTAAGCGAGATGCGTGAACCAGGTTAATACGTATGCGGGTTACACAGCCTTAAAAGCTTATTCCCGAAATAGAATAACTCGGCGAAAAATCTGCTTGCGGCCGCGCAGGGCTTCTTCTGAATAAACGCGCCTCGGGATTGTGCTGAGCAGCGGAGCAACCAGATTTTTCACCCAATTAAAGGCAAGTGATTCTGGCTATTCAGGGGCAGCGCGGCGGTCCCTTCCTGCTCCTCGTTTGCTCAAAAGTAAATTCCTAAATTCGACGGAGGGTCTTTAAAACCTTTCCGACAATTGTCCGCTTCTGAGCAGCCCATTATTAAGACGCCCAGTTTTTCGTGTTTTAAGCGGCAGCCTACTGAATTCAACGAGATTTATAGCAGTTTAGCCTTCAGTCCTTCAGATATCACATGTAGCACCCATAATCCCCAGCCAGTAAAGGGAAAGCTAATTTGAGCTGCAATGGTTGTTTTAGGGTTCCTTTAGTCTCGTTTCAAGGCCTAGGAGTTTTGCTTCGATTCCTCCCTGGAGAACCAGCTTTTCTCACAAGCCAGGCTGAGCCGAATTTCAGCTGGTTGGGCATAATAGACCTCCTTCGGCAATTGAAAAGCTCTAATAGATTTTTTTTCCTAATCTCATTGAAAGTCCTGAACCTCGAACGAGTTTACTCTGTTCACGCAAATTTGGGTATCCAAAATTTACCGCAATATAAACTAACCAGGTTTATTCTCAAAACAGATAAGCCACGGCCAATCAACCAATAAACAGACTTATGCTGGTTTGTGACCACAATAAAGATATGATTTGATTGAAAAGGCTTAAAGTGTTCTGGAAATGCGCTGTGAGGGTTTTCACCGAATTGGTTAAGCGTGCTGAGCAACCGAAGCCGCTGTCTAGACGCCTTTTCTCGCACAGTAAACGTTGAGACCGTGGAGTTCCTAATTATGTATGTACTTAAAAATAACCAATTCCTGGAAAGGCGGTTGCTTCCTTTCGTTTTACCAGCCCGTGATGCAGCCCAGCACAAAATGAAGACTCGTGTTATGTAAGAAAGGAAGAGCGAACCTGATCCGGGCATTTCTAAATAAATAAAAAACCGACTGGACGCGAATCGTCAATTACAGTCTTGACCAGCGCTCGGTCCGGTTTCCTACTAACCCAACCCCATTCCCTCCTAGTTTCCCAGCGTCGGCGTCCGGAAAGGCAGCGGGACTGCCTCAAAGTCACCCAGAGAGTTTCATGGTTGTAGGATCCGGATCTCCTCGATCAGAGTCCATCCCTGGCTGGCCCACATTCTTAAAAGTTATATCCCTCTTAAGTATTTCCCCCACTCGAGAAGTTGCGAAATTCCTCTATGAATAATAATTACCTGTGAAAATCCTGAGCATTGCTGGCAGCTAAATTGTTGGCAACTTCCTTGAGTCAAACTATTTGGGTTTAAAGTCACCTTCACCGCCTGCCTGCCCTCGGGTTTTCCAGCCTCTCCCTCGTTTGCGTTCTGCATGATATGCAGAAATGCAATTTATCTCAATACTTTTTCGGGCATGGAAATGAAACGAGTGAGGAGGATTTGCTGAATTCCGGCCTGCTGTTTGTTATCTAAAGGCGTATACCGTTCGCGAGTTAATCTAGTTTCACTTTGGCGCCACAAGGTCCATTTGGTTTCCTGTTCTCCCCTAACACCTCAACTTGATGAACAATGTTATTGAACTGGGAACTTTGCTCAGGACTTTAACCGTTCTATTAGAGCCTTCCACACCTTCTGCAGAGTGGAGATTTTGTAATTTAGATGATCAATGTTAGACTTCTCTACCGTTTTGTCCATGACTACTTTTTAACCACCACCTATGGGAGGTTTCATCGTTTCTCCAGAGACTAATCTGAGCTTGTTGTCTCTGGAGGTTTGCTCTTCACCGATCTAGGCAACCTTCTGATGCAGCTATGTAAATAATTAAGTAATCAATAATAAGCTTCATGCGATTAAATTAGATCTGTACTGTTAATCCCCTTCCCCTCATGGCTCTGGTGGGAGGGAAATATCTGTAGGGATCCGCTCCATCTGGCTTCAGATTTGATCTGGTTTCGAACCAAATAGTTGTCACACATATTGAGATCGAGTCGGTCAAGTTTTGGTAGCAGTTCCTCACTACTGCCTTCATAGGCATCGTCATTCTTGCACCGGAGAGCCTTGGAAAAAGGAGAGTACGGGTGTCCAGAAGTGAGAAGCCATTAGATTCGGATCCATAGGCATATCTTCAACTGATCGGCAAGAATTTGTGACCACCAGCCCCCTCCCCAGAGAGATGACCGCCTAAACTAGAGAACAACACTGGTGTAGTGGTTAAAAGTGGGAGACGGTTCTAGTTCTGCCCGAGGCAAAAGCCAGCCGGGTGACCTTGGACCCACCACTCTCTCCAGCCCTAGGAAGGAGACTACCCGAAACCACTTCTGAAAATCTTGCCAAAGGAAATGCAGAGACTTATCCAGTCAACCAGGAATTGACGAAGGCAGAAACAGAAGTAAAATTAGATGGCTAAAATCTGGAAGTGTAAGACCCCCAGGACGACCGAGTTTGGAGTAGACTTGGCGTTCGTTCGCCCGCCCCCCACTTTTTCCTCTTGGCCAACGTCCGTCAGGAATGGCTTTTGGGGTCAAATCCCCAGCTCAGGAGACGCGCCAATCCCGCCGGTGGGCGCCCCTTCGACACCGCCTAAGCCTCTCCCGTGCTGAGGAACGGGCCGGCCTTCGGCCTCTCCCCCTAAAAGTAATCCTTGGCCTTCAGTTCACCTCACAAACAGGAGTTTATATTTACATTCGGGGGCCTGCGAGGAAGAATCCGCACCACCAGCAAAAAAAGAGATGCAGCAAATCCTCGAACTGGCGAAGCGCTGTTAATCGCAGGTTCAACCGCAGGTCAGCGAGGGGGGAAAAAAAGGTTAGGGTGGCCAAAGGTAAACACGCGCCAGCGCCACGGCTTCTCCTGGGCCCTGACTGGCGCGGGCGGGCGGGAAAAGGTGCCCCTTCGCCCCGCTCGCAAGCAGCCCCCGCTCTTCCGTGCGGGCAAAGCGGCGCTCAGCAGCCTCATTTCTGTGGGAACGAGGACCGGGAAGGCCGAGAAGAGGGGCCCGGACGGGCCGGGCAGCGAAGCGTTAGCTCCAGAGGCCAGAAAAGGCCCAGTTGAGAGAGCTTTGGGGCGCCTTTCCGGGCAACTCAGCCTCGGGCTTCGCCGTTGCGTGACGTAAGGCCCGCAACAACCCAGACAGCGGGAGGGGGGGGGAGGAAGAGGAGATTGCGCAGCCAGGGGCCCGGCTGTCTCCCCCATGCTCTCCCCAGAAGTCGGTCTCCCACAGCTGAGGGCGGTTACACCGGCACAGCCTCTTTTCCACGCGCGCCCTTTCCACCTGTCGACTAGCCAAGTCCCTGCCGGCAGCGGCGCACGAGTTCACTCTTTCGATCGGGGCGGGGGGGGGAGGCTTTACCAACCCCGGAGGCGAATTGGAAGCAGCAGCCGCCGCCCTTGGAAGATCGGCCGCGCAATCCGTGGCGCGCAGCCTTTAGACTCGCGCCTGGGCGATCCAGCCTGAAGGAACAACGCCGCCCGGAAAGAAGTGCGGAAGAGCCTCGGCCTGGACCCAACGGGCTCCATCGGGGCTGGACTTCTCCCCCCTCCCCCCTGCGTTGCGAAAGCCGCCACGTTCTTCGCTCACCGCCCCCCCACTCCCCTCCCCAGCCCCGCAGCCGGGCCTGACTTCTGCTGGGTGGCGCTTTGGGTGGGGCTCCTCGGATGTGAACGCGGCCAGGTCGCCTGCTTCTCCTCGGCGTCGGCGCGGGCTGTGGCTGCCTCGCCGCGCAGAATCGTTCGGCGCTTCCAAGGCGCCTCTCTCGGGCGACCCTCCCTTCCACGATCGCCACCGCTTTTTCCCTTCCAGAGAGCAGAAGCCAAGAAATCCGCGCTCGGAGAGACTCCCCTTCCTCGCCGGCGGTTTTGTGTGTGGGGGGGGGACCTCGGCCTGTAGTCCGACAGCCGCGGCAGGAGAAGTGGCGACTTCCCCCCCCCCCTACGGAGCGGGTTCGCCTTTGCCCTTCACTCGTGTCCCAGAGTCGCGGCCTCGGCCTCGAGAGGGATGGCTGGAGAAGGCGAGGCAAGTGGAAAGGCGGCAGGAAGGCGATCTAGCAGGCAGAAATCCCTTCCTGGCGCCGAGTGAGAAACGGGAGCTCGTCCTTCTCACGTTTCAGCGGAGATACTTGAAACGGGGCGGGTTCGGACATCTGGTCTTCCTGATTCTTCTTGATATTTACACCGATCCCCCAATTTCGGGGGATTTTGCTCCCTGGAAAAAAAGCGAAAAGGACTAATTAAGGCTGGGGGTAAGAGCCAGAAAGGGGGGAAACGCGTGGGGTGACTATTCTTATTCCATAAACAGAACTGAGGAAGACAGCAAATCTAACATTAGGCCTCTTTTTTATTTTTTAATGGACCAAGAAAATCGAAAATGGACCACGGGCTCCTCCAGTTTCAATAGTGCTCAGTTGACAGAGATGGTCGGGCAATAGCCTCAAATCCCCGCAATCCAAGTCAAACGTTTGGGGGGCAATTAATAGTCAGTGTCGCGTGAGGATTGGTATCGGTCTGAAACGAAACAAGTTTAAATCCTCAACCTCCAAATCCGAAGGGTAATTTTCGCCCAGATAGAACCTCTCCTATAAATCTGCTTCTCCGGGGTCCTTCGGCAGATAAACGCCAAAAGAGGAAGGGGGGAAAACCTGCCGGCCAGAAATGTGACAAAGAAAGCATGTGGTCCGGGTCCCTTCATAGTTCATGCATCATTAATCTGTGTTAAATGATCGCACCAAGACGCCAACTCAAAATGCGCCAACTCAAAGGTTTATTTAGTCCAGCCCTTTGCATTAATTGCTCCAGCCATTCCACTCTCTGGGAATTGGACACCCGGAGGCGCACCGCACCGCCCGGCCTTTGACACGTTTTACACCAAATTGTTCCACTTTTCTGGGACTTACTCCAAGTGAAACTGCACCTCTCTCTGTGGGAGCTTGGCCTCTTCCGTGGGAAGAGGAGACTCCTGGTGGTGGATTAACTCTTCACATCCTGAACGGTGCCCAGAAATGGGGGGAAGTCTCTTCACGGAAAGTTTTTTTCCCCGAGTTCGCACCCCCATTTTTTTGGGCAAATGCTGGTTTTAATAGGATACCTCTCAGACAAGGGACACCGGGGGGGGGGGGAATACATCCTCCTCTATACACACCATACTTCTAAAGGGGGGGCGGGGGTGCCTCTCGGACCGGAAGGGCATGTAATACTTTCGGAGCGAGAGGAGGGAATCGGGGGTGCTCTTGAACCACGCAATCTTATTTCCCCAAGTTTGCTCTTTGGGGGCGTTTAAAGTCAGCTCTGCGCCGCCGCTCCGCCTGACCTAGATAATCCCAGCGCCCCGGCGAGCTGAAAGCCAATGGGATTCCCCCCCTCCATCCCCCCCTACGTGCCTGCGCGCCTAATGCCGGGGGGGGGGCGCCGGGAGAGGGGGGGAGACGGATGCCCCTTTGGCAGGGCGCGTCTGCGGTTTTGCAGCGGCCAGAAAACAAGGGCGTGACCCCGGGGCCCTTGGGCCTTCCCAGGCGTTGACCTGCAGGCGACCTATAGCCCGGACCGTGACACTTCAATGAACCCTGCCTGCTTCTTCGCCAAGTTCACTGTCTATCAAATAACGAGATACGGAGGTCTGAGCACCGTTAATTGCCACAGGAAGCCTTTATTATCTCCGCGGCCCTCTGTTTTATGTGCGTCGATCCCGGGGTGGCGGTGGGGGAACCGGGGGCTCGGACGGCCACGGAGGGAAAGGGATAATGAAAGGCATCTTGAAAGGAGGTCAGTAAATGAACGGCCGAAGACGAACTGCTGGCGAAGATGGCAAGTTAACCGTCGTTTTCCGGGCAACCTTCGTGGCGCTGCACTTGGCGCTTCTCAAAACGCCCTGCGAAATAAAGCAACCTTAGCGAGAGCAATCCCATTCCCCCCTTTCTCTCCCCCCCCCACCCGTAAGGCCACGTTTACTTGATTTCGGGACCGAATTTCTACTTTTTTTACAATAGAAATGAAATAGAAGTATTTGCCTCTTGGTTAGCTAGACTCATAAACTGTCTTCAGATTTCTCCAGAAACAGAGCAACAAACCTGGTTGACGGGCACTACCTCAAAAGCGAAGAGAAATGTTCACAAGTTTTAAAAGCGCTAATTAACCAGTTCCGTGCTTTTTTGCGGATTCGCGATGTAACCTTTTGTAATTAAAGTGCCAGGACTTGTTTTCACAGGAAATATTTCAGACATTCAGGCAATGGTCACTTACATGCCCATTTCTAAAGCAGATTAACATATTTTACAAAGGGATTCAAATTGGATCTGCTCTACTTTCTAATTTGCCTTTAGATATTCATTATGACTACTTTCTGCTTTCAATGGAGGTTTACAACAATATATGTAAACCTAAAACTACCATCTGTTTTGCAAGTTCCTTTTAAGATGTGATTTAATGACAATGAAATAATTCACAGTGAATGAAAAGCTGGGATTTTTTTTTCTCCTACATCACATCTATGAGACTGTGAGTTAGCTACATGAGCTATTTAACTTATGAATGCATAAATGAACTGAACTTATTGGGAATGGGGGTTTGCAAGGCACATGGTTTGTATGATTTGAAGTTGAGCATTTAATGCTACTTAAAATTTGGTTGGCTAGTTCGTGGCTCAGGGTATTGTAGAAAAACAGCTCAATTCAACCTCTGTGTGTTTAGGGTAATGTACATTAAAATTTTTCAACTGATAGATAGATCAGCTTATTTTCTTAAGACTGTCTGCCTCAAGACCACACCCCAGCCTTAACCAAACGAGCAAGCTCCACTCAACTGGGCAGGATTTATTTCACTAGAACAGGGATAATTCTGAATTTATAATCATGAAGAAAGGGGAAATCCATCATTTCAGTCTTTGCATTTTCAGAACACAGGTTTAAAATAATATTTAGATTTTCAGGATGTGACTAGTTTAAAGGAAGTTTCTTCACCTTGATTTTGCCCAGATATATTGGGGTCTAGTGACTATTAGTCTTCAGATAGGCTGCCTGCAGTGACTGATGGAAAATATGGTCCAACATGTCCCAAACACATGAATGGCCTCTCTACCCTGAAAAATACAAATACAAAGCAAGGTGTGCGGTGTCACTGATGGGAAATGTAGACCAACACGTCCCAAAGATATGAATAGGCAGTGAGGCAAGGCGGTTTTTTTACCCAGATACATACAAATACAAAACAAGATACTTGATGTCACTTTCTTGCCCCTTTAAAAAGCTATTTCTTTGCTCTCTTTCATCCTAACCTGGGTTTATATTTAAATTAATAAGGTTGAGATGTGGCTTGAAATTAAAAAATATAACTAGAGATATAAGCAGATTTAGAAACCAGCGTTGGGTGTTCGAATCAAAAGTCCTTTGATTAAAGGGGAATCTTAGAACTGTAGCATTGCAGCACTTTAGATGCACCAAACAGAAAGTTATGTTAATTAAAGTTAGTCATTGACATTTGGCTGTTTTCTTTCTTTCAGCTGACCACAAAGATTTACCTTAAAGACAAGGTCAGGAGGGCAGAAGCTTCTGGTTCACTTGAAGGTCAATCTGCCAACAGTATTTAACTCAGCATTATAGTGCAACCTTTACCCGCTTTGATGGGGGAGAGGAAAGAAAAGGAGAATTACCTTACATACAAGCAGCACCTCCTTTAATTCGGAAGTCCTTCCTGATCATTGGAACTGTCTTGCATTCAGACAGGAGAGTTCATCTATGACTTCAGAATCAAATAACAGATGCAACTTGTTTTAAAACCAAACTGTGAAGATTTTGGCTTCCTCCTTTGCTTTAAAACCAACTTTTCTTTTGAAGGTTAGAAGGATTTATTTTACAAAGCAATCTTCCTTTCCTTCTCTTTAGGAAAAAGAGAGCCAGGGACTTATGAGAACTTCAGGAAGTGATTAATCCAGTGAATGAATAAGTGAATTCCTCTATAAATGAAATCTAGGGGAGAATTTGGGTAACAGAGGCCTATGTCAGGAGGCCAGGTTGAAAGTTAAAACTTTCAGACAGGCAGCTATCCAACAGATTAAGTGATGTGGATTAGAAGTTTAGGACATATACAGGGAAAGCTTCACTTTCTGAATCTCTTGCCTTTTTGTCATGAGGAAAGAAAAGCAATTCTAGCAGGACAGATAAGGACATTTTGTTTAAGGAGTTATGGGCTAAAGGAAAATCGACTGTCAGCATCATTTTCTGGCTGCAAAGTTTAATCAGTTTTGGTCCCTAATGGACTCAGCTCTGAAATGAGAAAATTATGAGAGTTTTTTCCCCTTGTGCTGATTGCTTTACTTTTAGTGACCAATAAATAACTTGGAGTAAAGCATACTATAACTGCACAACAGAAACCAGTAAATCTTTGAAATTTAAAGATTTGCATAAGATTCTAAAGATTTTTTTTTAACCTTGAAAAATAAGTTTTCAAAATCTTAAACTAAAGAAATCATTGACAGCTTAGAGCTGGTGATTCCAAAACAGAGAAGTTTGTATATTTTTCTTTGAAATTTGACTTCAGAAAGAAATAGTGATCCATAATCTATAAGTAAAATACAAACGTTTAAAAATTGCAGAGGAGAATCACCCTGGTGACCTGATGACACTGATCCCAATAGTGATTGGGGAGGCCCTGACAGTCAAATATCTATAAGGGATTAGAAGCAGGGCTGAAATAAAGCTTATCATCCATTGAAACCTGCCTGTTTTGACTTTTAAACAGGACCTTTGCTTTTACTTTGCATATTTCACTTCAAACTTCATTCATTTAAAAACAAAATGGTTTAATCATCTGCTTTTCCTCTAAGCCTCCTAATTATAACCATGTTTACTCTTGATAATTTGGAAGAGAATTCAAAGTCTTACATTGTCATCGGGAACCATCCTCCCAAGACTGCTTGTGTTTTAGAAAGGCACCAAAAGAACATGGCTTAACTGTGTACCCAATGAATTTCACGTCTGTTTAGGTAGTTGAATTTTTATTTTTTTTTAAGTAAAATTGTGGTGAGACCAATTAAAAATTTATCTATTACATAAACAACACCTCTCCTGCCATGAGGCACTCTCTTGCTGACAGGCATGTAAAAAAAATCCCAGATGGTGGACATGGATATGCAACTGAAACTCTGCCCCTTTTTGACATGCAACATTTCTCTGTGGACAGATTTGTAGGCACATCACAACCATGTCTATCTAGTTCAGGGACAATAGAGGATAATCTCATATTTCCTGTTTGAGGGGAAGCCAAAGTACACCTCTCTACATGGAAGAGTGAGAGGAGCAGGGACAGCACCATTTTGCCCCCAGCTGATGTCTTGAGTCAGCCTGGGAGCAAAATAGAAAATTAAATAATTGCTTGAAACTGAAGCAATGCCAATCCCGACACATAGTTTGGGTACAATTCTGTCCACTCGGGTGAAGATGCATATTGAGAGATCTTCAAGTAGTACCATCTGTTGATTTGAATGCTCATTGTGAATAGCTTAGTTCCACAACTAGGATACTCATGGCCAGAGCTTCCAATTTTCCAAATTTAATTTTGAATTTAGGAAGATTTCAATTAGCAAAAGAATCCCCCCCCCCATTCAATGTGTTTGGATGAGTCCAGTTTTCTTGGTATGTTTTTTTGAGTAGTTTTCCCTCACCTCCTTCCTAAGGCTTAGGGAGAGTGACTGGCCCAAGGTCACCCAGCTGGCTTTGTGTCTAAGATAGAACTACAATTCATGGTTTCTAACCTGATGCTTTAACCACTATACCAAACTGGCTTTCTAAAAGAAGAAATAGCAGAAAAGTGAGCAAGGTTTCACTACTGGCACTGTCTAAACTATTGAAATATAGTAGTGAATTAAAAGAACATGTTGTATAGGACTTAGGGGTGACGGAAAATGCTGTTCAAAACATTGGAAAGACAGCAAGTCGTGGAACTACTGTATAATGCAGAGAAGTTATTTGGGCGTCCTTCCCCTCCAACGCTCTAGGTGGTGCTCTACAAACTCCAGCCTCCCCCCCCCCTTAAAACATACCCAATATCTTCTAAGGATGCTACAAGTTCCAGGTATTTAATTTTGTTGTTTTAACTGCTTGAGGTTATCTTTGAGTTTCATTTTCCATGCAGGGGGGCAAATATATCTCCCTTATTTCCTTTTGTTTAAATGATATTTGGCTTGACATAAATTAAAGGCAGCTTTTCCAATGTTCAGTAAGGTAATTTTTGAGTAAATTGCTGTTTCTTGCAACATTGATGGGCTATGTTAATGGGAATTAAGTATTTGGCAGAATGCCTCACCACATGTCCAGCTCTCATTTTAGATGAGAGTTAAGCCTTCAGGTCTATTTGAGGGGCCAGCAGACCACAAGAGAGAAAAGAGCACAATACCGAAGCTCCACTCCTTTGGATTCTGACTTTCCCCAAGGTCCCTTCAAGCCCAGTTTTAATATTTCTTTGACTAACCGTTTAGCAGATAAATATTTGCCCTATCAGGCTTTGTGCCAGGCAGTAAATATTTTAAATAAATACAGAGCAAAAAGAAGTTCTGGCAGGATTTATTTCTGAAAGGCCTTTCCTCCCACATCTTTTATAGAATTTTATTTAGCAATAAATTACTTACAGCAGTTATTCCAGATAGTGATAACTAAAGTAGTGGCAGTCTGGTGATCAAGAAAGGGTAGCTGAAACACACAATTATCACAATCCATTTGATGTATCCCTACACTATGTGACAGAACAAGCAATTTTTGCAGACCAGAAACTGTGCTGGTAATGGTATGTCAGATGACACCAAGTACATAGCAATATCAAATAATTGGGTTTATTTTTAAAAAATGGCAGTAAAACTTGTTGCTGATTTTCAAGAGGTCAACAACTTAGTTTTGGTAAGATGGAAGAGCAAAGAGAGAGGCAAACAATGGTCCAGGCAGCATTAAACACGCTGTTTGAGGATATTCCCTTTTATGAAATGCACCTACTTTAAGACAGACACTCCGGGCTATAATTCTCATCCATTGCCAGCACAATGGCATAATGTGAGTTCCAATCTAACCCATGCAGAAAGCATCAAGCTGAAATTGATCTAGATTAGAAAGCTGCATTTGGGCTGCACCACATTATTCTTTCAAGTAGGGGGAGCTCACATAGTGAAAAGCTGTTCTATACCACACAGAGAAAAATGTTGCATATATATAAAACAATAACTTGAAAACAATAACTTGAGCCTAACTTTCTCGTTATATCAAATTCTTACGTTTTGGTCTTAAAGGATTCCTAGCATTATGAGCTTGAATTATGATTGAGTTTCTGATTGGCCTTTACTTGGGCCTACCCAGTCCCTACCCAATCTCCAGATGATCCTTTTGCAAGTCAAGTGGATACACCTCTCCAATCCAACTTTGCATCCTGCATTACCTTAGTCTACTGTCAACCATCTTTGCTATAAGGTTTGGCCATCTTTTGTTTAAATGCTCTTAGTCTCTGTCTTCCACCTGCTTCTTTAGAAGAGTATAATTTTTTGCTCCACGTGGTTTCACTTATGTCCATCTTCTCTGTTCTTTTGTAGATATTGATTTAGATTTTGGGATCTATGAACAGGCTGCTTTCCTTGGCAACTTGTGGTTGAAAACCATTTCTTGGCGAGACATCAGCATCTTAAATACTTGGAGAGAAAAATTAGTCCCCACAAACAGGATTAGAGAGGAATTATCCACAGAGTGTGGACCCCTTCTGTAATAATGTTCCCCATAGCTTTTTAAAGCCAATTCTTAGCCTAGCTCAAGAGCAGTATTTGTCATTCTGCAGGTATTACGAAGTGCTTTCCTAAGCAGTTGGAGAGGACTGATAATTATTAATGGTAGTTTAATATCATTCCCACAAAACTTCTAGTTGCTCATTATGCTATAAGGCAGCAAATTGAAAGGCTAAACATTTTACTACAGTGTAAGCAGGAGTGGGGAACCAGTGATCTTCCAGGTGTTGCTGAACTAGAATTCCCAGGATATCTCACCATAGGCTTTAATGATTTGGACTCATGGAAAACTTAACAACATCTGAGGAATCAAAGTTCCCCACCCTGGCTTAACTCACAGACTAGAAACACATGAGATGTATGGAATTAACCGTAATTTATCTATTATATATATGCCCAAGTGGCAATAAATCCATAACTAATTCATAACCACACATGTTATAAGAAATCATGTTACTCTTTTTATAAAATGCTTGCTTTATTCCTACTACAAAAGCTAATATAGCTGCCCCTTTGGAAACTGTATATGTCAGAAAGCCATCCTGGGTCAAATCTCAGAAATGAATCACTTCATATCCCTTCAAATGTAATGTTTTTTTTTCATTTTGCAGGACCCAAAGTAGAAAGAATAAAAAGCACACATGATTATGAACCAGACCTAAAGACATTCCGTCCATAATTTGCTTGACAACTTAGTATGCCAACCCATGGGTAACTTGCTTAATTAAAATAAGGTGAGGCTTCATGTCATAATCAGGCTGCTCACAGTTCAATAGTACATGTGTTCCAAGCTGAATCCACGGAGAGCCACTGCTGGTCACTGCCATTAACACTGTACATTGGGGTCATAACAGAAATTGGAAAAGAAATCTGTTCCAGAGCTATCTTGTCTCCTTGTTTACAATGCAGAACATGGTTACATTTCATTATCTTTAAATACAAAAAGCCATCCTGAAGCAAAGTCAGTTTCTGATCTATTTGGTTCCAATTCTTTTGTTGGTTCTTGCTTTGTCAGGGTCTTTCTGAAGTCCCTTCTGAATTTTACTTGGAACATTTTCCATGCTGAAGGCAACAGAGCTATGTAGGTTCTCTTCCTTCAGAAACAAAGCACAGCCACCTTGTATGGAAGCAATGGAGCCATCTTGTTCAGAAGCTATGAGGAGTCCTGAAGAATCTTCATAGGGCAGACTAGATCATGGATTCCCAACATTTTCACTGTATCCCATTTTTTGTTTTCTTGAGGTATATATACTTAATCCTCATGTAGAACTAACATCAATGCCTCTACCGCTTTTTCAAGATATTTACTTTTGGAGGTAAGACTACTCTTAACCACGAGACAAAGTGGTTATGCACATGTACAAAATGAAAAGTGCAACTAAAGATGACAGAAGACCAACTGATGCATATTTGTGCAAAGAATAGATGCTAATAATGTCACAGGCTTTTGAGGAAGAGTGCAGTGAGTTCCTCCTTTTCTCTTACCCCGCAACCGAGAGGCAGGCGGAAAGGGCTTGCGCTGAAAGGAAAGTGGTGTTTTTCCCTCAGAGGCCTGTCCTAGTCTACTCCTAAGCTAGAGATGTAAAGGAGATGTCTACGCATCCTTGCCTGCTCCACTGCTTTCATGGCCAGCCTTCAGAGAATGGAAATAGAGTTGAAGACCATCTACAGGGTGCACAATTGGCACAGTCTGCATTTTGGGAAAATGAGTTGTGGCCAATTCCCAGCTGGCCGTGCTGACCAATTCAATGGCAAGCATCTTGAGAATCACCTGGGCCAGTTCTTTGCCTATGCAATTTCGGACTCCACCGCCAAAGGGAATGTAGTGAAACCGGAGGGAAGCAGAAATTTTGTGATTCTCCCGGTCTTCCGGCGATACCCAAAACCTCTCTGGATCAAAAGTATCAGGGGGACTCTGGTAGATGCCGGCAGTCTCATGTGTATCCCGAATACTGTACATCACACTCCAACCCTTCGGAATCTGGTAGCCCTTGAAGGAAGGGAAGGAGAGATGGGGGAAAAAATCAGCACCATAGACAGCAGCCAGAGAGATGAAACCTGCCTGAAAGAGCAAGCAAACATCCACAACAATTTGATCCAATCTTTTGGAGAGGCGTCACAAGGCTTATTTCACCCACTATCCCTGTGCTTAGAGGGGCTAACTTCAAAAATATTACTAACATTCTACAAAAACATGGATTTTCTGGTACAAAATGCTGCCATTTCAGATGACTAAACAGTAGAGAGAAAAATTCACGAGTAGACCATTTTTTCACTACATTTCTTTTAACTTAAGTTTAGCTCTTCTCCTTAAAGATGTCATTTTATTTTGTGCTTTATATTTTTTAAATGCTATAGATCACGGAACTTAGAAATAAACGGGAACCTGTTTGTTTAGAAAATATCAGTATTTCACAGTTAGTGAAAATTACAGTCTCGAGTGAATATCATACACTGAAATATTTATTGCCATAATATAAGTACTACCTTGGCATGGCTGTTCCAAGTGCCACTCCAGATTAGAGCAATTGTAACTAGCAGTCATATTGCCCCTTTTTTGTGTGCTTATGGATCATGTACAAATCTGGGAATGTATAAGTCCTAGTAATTTTTGTTGCAACATTTTTGAAACTGGCTTGTCCTGACCACCTACCTAGGCTGAGAGAAAGTGACTGGCCCAAACTCACCCACCTGGCTTTAGATTTGAGGTAGGACTAGCCATAATCTCTTGGCTTCTAACCCAGCACCTTTAACCACTACTCCAAACTGTTGCAGTTATTCTTCCTAAATTCTGCCAAATGGACACAATTGTTTTGGTGATCTGAATGAAGCATTCATCTTGACTTCTCTCTCCAATTCTCAATCTTTTTATGAAAAATATGCAGTTCCCTGGATTCTATCAAATTAGGCCATTGATCCATCTTACTCCAACTGCTGACAGGATCTGATAGCAGCTCCTCCAGCATTTGAAGCAGTATTTCTTTCTATTCCTAAAATAGCGATGCCAGAAACTAAATCAGATACCGGCACACAAATATTGCTTGGACACTCTTTCTGTGCCCCTTTTCTGTCTGACTTTTCTTCACAAGCTTCTTCACTATTCTCACTATCAGAGTCCACTACCCCGAACATGGGATCTTGTTTCCCATCCCTATTTACAGTACTTATAGTCCCTTTGAGACATCCTTTCTCATACCCCAAAAGCCCATCTTCCTACAGATGGCCAGGAGATTCCTCACATATATGCTGGCTCTAAACAGAAGAAGTTCTTGGAATTACTAGGAACCATAAATTCTTCCTGAGTTCCCATATAAAAAGCTCAACCTAACCTTCTAAAATTCAGGTCAACCCAAGTGCCTCACACTTCCACCAAAAGGTTAGATAACAAGCCACTCAACTCACATCTAGCTCAAAGGTTTGTAAGGCTGTCCTATATCCTCCAGATACTGGGGGCAGCAAACGGAGAACTTCTTTAATTACACAATCCAAGTAGCGCAGACGATTCAACTTCTCCAGGGTCAAGTAAGGGTGGCAACAATATTCAGATCTTTCCAGACTGCTAAAGAACCGGCCTGTTTCTTCCAGGCTGGACAATGAGCTAGGACCATTTGTAGTTCCGTGGACAATCTCCTGGGACACTTTAGCCGTGATGTTTATATTAGGTCCTTTCTCTTCCATCTTGGTCGCTTGGCCTTCTTCTCTTCCCAATCTGGAGTCACCATCTTGGTTTTCCTTCTCATGTGCAGGCAAAGTTTTTTGGCCAGACGGGTATTTTGGTAGAAAATCCTCAGCTGCAAAGCATTGACACTGTCCAGTAAAGCCATTGGAGGCCAGTTCCTGCTGGATCTTTTTTATGACCAATGGGTGTTTCAATAAGAGTAAGATCATAGAAGTAGTGGCACTGGCAGTGGTGAAGAAAGCTGCAAATATTAGTTCAATTGCAGATTCCTGTAAGGCAAGCCATAGTGATGTATGAATTAGAAGAGGGTTCCTGTTATTATAGGGTTAGAGATAGGCCTATCTATTATTATAGAGATAGGCCTATCTATTATTATAAATAGGAGGCAAATAAATTTAACAAATAAATAAATTATCCATGTTATTAGTAAATTGAATATCTCTTGGACTTTCATTTTGGATACATTGAGATTAGAATTTAAATAAGATATTATTCAGATGTTTAAAAGAAAAAAGCTAATTAATAAACCCAGTTCAAGATTCTAGGAGTTGCTCTTGAACACTTATAGAAATGTTGGTGCTCTGAAAGCCCTTGACAATACACTCACAACATTTCCCTACCATAGCCTGCTCAACAATGAGCAATCAATTCAAGGTGCTGGGTGAGCCACTGCCAGAGGAGCAGTAAGCAGAAGACAGTAATTGCTGCCAGTCTCTGGAGATGAGAATGAGGAGAAGGAGACCCCCCCACACACACCATCCCCCTCCTGCAAGGGCTCCCTGTGCACAGAGCAGAAGAGGGAAGGTGCTCTTCAAGGCTCCTTGTAAGAAAGGAGCCCTGCCCGTCCTAACAAGCAACACTGGGCTTGCTTCTATTTAAGCAAACCCTAGCCTCTCCATTGGCAACAACTGTTTGTTTACCAGATTCCAGGTGTCTTGATTTGAAACTTCATGACTTTAATTCTGGACCTAGACTAGCTGATGAACCTTCTGCAACACTTGGCCCCTTGGGACTTCACTTGAATGCTTGCTGGACTTTGGGGGGGGGACATAATAACTACTACTACTACTACTACTACTACTACTACTACTTTTGTTGTTGTTGTTGTTGTTGTTGTTATTATTTCCTGCTCAGGCAGGAAACCCTATACCATTTCAGACAAATGGCTATCCAGTCTCTTCTTAAAAACTTTCAGTGTTGGATCATTCACCGCTTCTGGAGGCAGGTTGTTCCACTCATTAATTGTTCTAACTGTCAGGAAGTTTCTCTTTAGTTCTAGGTTGCTTCTCTCCTTGCTTAGTTTCCACCCGTTGCTTCTTGTCCTGCTTTCAGTCGCTTTGGAGAATAGCTTGACTCCCTCTTCTTTGTGGCAGCCCCTGAGATATTGGAAGACTGCTATCATGTCACCCCTCGTCCTTCTCTTCATTAAACTAGATATACCCAATTCCAGCAATTGTTCCTTATGTTTTAGCCTCCAGTCTCCTAATCATCTTTGTTGCTCTTCTCTGTACTCTTTCTAGAGTCTCAACATATTTTTTACATTGTGGTGACCAAACTGGATGCAGTATTCCAAGCGTGGCCTTACCAAGGCATTGTAAAGTGGTATTAATACTTCACGTGATCTTGATTCTAATGTTAATGCAGCCAAGCACTGTGTTGGCTTTTGTGGCAGCTGCAGCACACTGCTGGCTCATATTTAAGTGATTGTCTACTAGGACTCCAAGATCCCTCTCACAGTTACTACTATTGAACAAGATAACACCTATTCTATACCTGTACATTTGGTTTTTCTTGCCTAAATGTAGAACCTTACTTTTTTCACCACTGAATTTAATTTTGTTAGACAGTGCCCAGTGTTCAAGTCTCTCCTATATCTTAAGCCTATCTTCTGGAATGTTGGCTATTCCTGCCAGCTTGATGAGTTCCCCATCTATCCCCTCATCCAAATCGTTGATGAAGATGTTGAAGAGCACTGGGCCTAGAACAGAACCCTGGGGAACCCCACTATACACTTCCCTCCATGTAGATGTGGTTCCATTGAGGACCACATGCTGAGTACGGCTGGTCAGCCAGCTACAAATCCATCTGGTGGTAGTGCTGTCTAACCTACATTTTTCTATCTTATCAAGTAGTAGGTTGTGGTCTACTTTATCAAATGCCTCACTGAAGTCCAAGTAAATTATATCCATAGCATTCCTTCGGTCCACTAATTTTGCCACTTGGTCAAAAAATGCAATAAGATTTGTCTGGCATGATCTGTTTTTGACAAATCCATGTTGGCTTTTAGTAATGACTTTGTGTGCCTCTAGGTGTTCGCTGATTCGTTGTTTGATTATCTTTTCCAGGATCTTCCCAGGTATTGAGGTCAGGTTGATAGGTCTGTAGTTTCCTGGGTCCATTTTTTTCCCTTTTTTGAAGATGGAAACTACATCAGCTCTCTTCCAGTCCTCTGGTAGTTCCCCAGTGCTCCAGGATCTTTGAAAAATATAGTTCAGTGGTTCTGAGATCACATCTGCCAGTTCCTTGAGAACCCTGGGGTGTAATCCATCTGGTCCTGGTGATCTGAACTCGTCTAGGCTGGACAGGTGTTCACTTACCATTTTCTTGCCTATCTTAACTTGCGTTTCTAATCTATTTTTTATGGTACTGTTTTTGATAGGTTGGACTGTTTTTTCCCTTTGTGTAAAGACAGATGCAAAAAACGAGTTAAATAGTTCTGCTTTCTCCCTGTTACTTGTTACCTTCTTGCCACTTTCCTCCACTAATGGACCAATCATTTCCTTAAGCTTTTCCTACATTTGTGTATGTGTCTGTATACATACACATATATACATACACACACACACATGTACACACATGCCTTTGTATTTGCATTTCTATATCTATGTTTATGGTCTGAGGCAGGACAATCTAATTTCTGACTGCTCCCCCACTTTTCCTCTCTCCCCCTTTCTCTTTCTTTCCCTTCCTTTAAAGTATGTAAGAATGGATACAGAAGAGGAGATAAACAAGAACAAGAGAAGATCTTCATGGTGTTATGTGTCTGGGTGTGTAGATGAAGTTCAAGATATTTGGCTTGCATTTCAGCATCAACCTTTGATAGGAACACCTTCAATTAGGGTCAGAGATAAGTTGCCACTATGAGTGCGAAGAATAGAATCCCTAAGAGCAAAAGTCCCTGGAATTTTCTTTCCACATTGTATGCAGTACTAACTGAATTATCTCAGGACCATTTCCAGGTGGAGCGCATGACAATAAAATCTAATCTGGATGTAACCTATTCAGAGAATATGGTCTGGCTCCAACCCAATTCATTTCATACCATTTACCTAATTTTATTTTTGTCACATTCAGTCAGTTCAAAGGCATTCAACTGAACAATTTGATTTGACTTTCCAATTTGGTTCAGAAACTGAATTCAATTAGGAGATTTAATGAAATCTCAAAATCAAAGCTTTACAGACTTATACCATTTCCCTGTTTATTGAAATAGCCATTAAAAACCCTTATTCCTCAGGGAAACAGAGTTCAGTGAGGTTAAAATAGTTTAGAAAATATGCACTGGATTGAACTGCACAAAATCAATCTGACCTTCTGCTATTTGAGACCTGTTATTGCTATTAATGCTAATAGAATGGAGATGAAAACAAAATAGATAAACAGGTAGTTTTCACTTACTGACCACTTATTCAGCGACCGTTCAAAGTTATAACAATGGTGAAATAGATTTATGACCGGTTCTTACAATTGCAGATGTTTTAGTATCACCACAGTCATGTGATAGAAAATTGGTGGCTTGGCAATTGGTGTGCATTTATGATGGTTGCAGCAACCTGCAGTCATGTGATTGCCATTTGCAACCTTCACAGCCAGTTTACCATAAGTCAATGGGGAAGCCAGGAGGAAGTCACAGTCAATTGCAGTCAGAAAGTGAGGGCTACTTGTATGATCTAAAACCCCCAATCAGATGCTTTATATATATATATTGCTAAAACCAACTTCTGAGTGACTGCTGACAAATCTTCTTTGTACTCTATGAAGCTATGGTATCCTGGGACAACTGAGCACAGAATCTCTAGTATCAGTAAACATTAGGAGGCCAGGCATTAGCCATTCCATAAAAGTATTTCCAACCAAACATCCTGCAAAATTACACCATCTGAGGAAACCATCTTCCAATAGGGGCTACTGTCAAATTCTGCATGGAACCACTGATCCTCAGGAGCAGGGGTCTTCAAACTTGGCCCTTTTATGACTTGTGCCTGGCTGAGGAATTCTGGGAGTTGAAGTCCGCAAGTCATAAAAGGGCCAAGTTTGAAGACCCCTACCCAGGAGCATAAAAATCCTTACCTTCAATTCCTGCATAGTGAAATCTTTGCCATATTCCTTGGCGCTGTTGATGATAAAATCCAAGGCATCATGGTGAGCTTCAGGATCCTTCCTCTGCAGTTTCTCCAAGATGGCTTTCTCCATGTAAGTATGTAAAAGATCACGAGCCTTTATTCCCTGGGGAACAGAAGATGGTTCAAAGAAGAAGAGCCCAGAAATCTGGTTCAGAAACTCATTCAGAAAAGTAATACTTTGAGATTCCAGGAAGAAAGCAGTGGACTGCTTAAAAAGTTCTAAGAGTTTATTTATGTTGTTTTCACCAAGTAGTAGAAGCTCAGGCTAGTTAGAGGGGTTTCAGTTTTCCTTGGCTGTGAGGAAAACAACTCATCCCTGTTAAAGGCAAGAAACAATGAGACCCTGAGTTCTAGTCCCACCTTTGTCACAAAGCCAGCTGGGTGACCTCGGACCAGTCACTCCCTTTTAGCCCTAGGAATCTGGCAATGGCAAACCACTTCTGAAATCTTGCCAAAAAAAACCCTGCTAGACTGGACCAGGCAGTCACCAGGAGTCAACTCTGACTTGAAGGCCCAAAACAAACAAATAAAACCTTACTGAACCGACAGGAATTTAGTCCTGAGATAAATAAATATAAATGATGCTATAAAAGAACCGAAGATCTAGTCTCTTTTCATCTTGGATAGATCAAGAGAGCTAGTGTCTTTGTTTCCATAATTCGCTGAAGGCTAACCTAAGTATGGATTAAGATTAAGAAACACAGTTTCAAGTTTATCCATAGCCATGGAAGCTTACTGGGCGAATTGGGCTAGTCATTGCTACTGGCACCCTGAGCACAAATTCGCACACTAATCTCTTGTGACAAACCCATCACATTGTGCTTTTATTGTGTCAAACCAAATTAGTTAATTAAACCATGATTAAATTCACATTGGGTCAGAGGGTCTTGGGAACACAGCCTAGTGAGTCAACTTTATATAAAGTTATTTGTAGAAAGGGGAGAGGGGAAATTGAAAAACAGTGTACTATATAGATAGGCTTGAGCTTCTGCAAGAAAGCCCCATTCAAATTAAATTATTTTATTCATTTCATTAGAAATAATAGAAATAAAAGATGCAACAACAACACCTCAAGAAGGTTTACTGAGTAGTGGAGAGACCAAACTGGATTACAAGAAAGACCAAATAAAGAATAGAATGGAGATATTGCAAGGCAAAGTATTAACATGGCCAGTACCAGCAGGCAAAGCAGATAACAACAGGACTTGGTATGGTTAAGAGCAAAAAATTGAAAAAAAAAAAGAGAGAGAGACAGAGGGGCTAATTTTGGCTGTACAAGACCAAGCCCTGAAAAGAAATGCATGCAAAATCAGAATTGAGAAGACAGCAACAGACCGCTGGTGCTGCATCTGCTAAGAAGAAACAATGGACCAATTGGCTGTTGCAAGAAAATCGCAGAGACTGACTACAAAGTACAGGTAGTCCTTGACTTACAACCATTTGTTTTGTGACCATTCCAAGTTACAATGGCATTGAAAAAAGTGACTTGTTGTTTTTCACACTTATGACCACTGCAGCATCTCCATGGTCACATAGTCTAAAATTTGGGTGCTTGGCAACTGACTCATATTTATGATGGTTGCGGGGTCCTGGGGTCATGTGACCGACTACCTTCTGAAAAGCAAAGTCAGTGGGGAAGCCAGATTCACTTAACAACTGCAGTGATTCACTTAACAACTGTGTCACGAAAGGTTTTAAAATGAGGCAAAACTCACTTAGCAACTGTCTGAGGCAGCAACAGAAATTTCGGGCTCAGTTGTGGTTGTTAAGTTGAGGAGTACCTGTAAGCAACAATGGGGCATTGGAATGTCTCCAAGAAATACCATTTGCCTGCAAGCAACAGCTAAGGGACCATAAAGTGGACAAAGTAATAGAAAATGAAACAGGTAAAGTGCTCCAATACTTTAAAACTCAAAAAGTCAAGCACCTGCCACATAGCATTCCAGACCTGACAATTGTTGATCAGAAAGACAAAAAAAAAAAAGTCTGGAAAGTGGGCATGGCAGCACCTGCACCCAGCAGAATAGAAAGAACTGGAGAAAAATCACACAATACAAATACAAATAGAAGAGAAACAGCTGTGGCAAAAGAAAGTGAAGATAATACCAACGGTAATAGGGACCTTTGGTGAAATCCAAAAACATCTGGGGCATCACTTGAACATCATCTGCATTGACAAAATTACCATCAGTCAGCTGCACAATTCAACTTCCTTGGAACAGCTTACATTATGCAGTGATACCTTTAACACCACCAAAAAACATCATCTTCCTATCCCAGGTCCTTGGAAAGGATTCAATAACTGGCATGCTAAATCCAGTCTAAACATCTGGCTGACTGTGTGACCAACCACAATAACAGAGAAAATCATGTGAAATATTATTTTCACAGAAGTAGAATTGGAAGAACTGCAAAGATTATCCAAGGGCAAAGAAACCAAAGCCTTGCCAAAAGTAGCTCAGACTATGGAGGAAAACCAAGGGGAGACAACATCCAGAATAGCTATTGAATTATTTTCATTCCCAAACCCCAAAGTAGAGGTCCTCTACTTTGACCTCTCCTCAGAAAGAGCAAAGCTGTCTGAAGAAGAATTGAAGCAAAGAATAATGGAGAATTTAGACCAGTACAAAAGCAACAGAGTAAGGTTGCCTGCATTGAAGTTTGTTCTACAGAAACAGCTAGTAGCATAAGTATTAAAAGATGCCAGTACTGTAACATCAAATATAAGCACCAGCTCAATGCAAGAGACAAACCAACTAAGACACAGCACAGCTGCAGTTATAACTGAAAACCTGACATGCAAAATGAACAAGAAAAAAGGCAATCAGTGCAGTACCAAAATGAAAGATCACGTTCACCAATAAATATGCTAAGATCAGATGCAAGTAAGCTATAACAGATGCAAGAAAAGAAGATGAAGATCAAAACACCTAATCAAGAAATATCACCTAGAAATAAGGAAGATCAAGGAAGCACAGCAAATAACAGCTATATCCAAGAGGATGAGCAAATATGAAGTTTGATTTGTAGCTTATAGGCAGAATCTCCAATTTCAGTGGCATTAGAAATGTTTATACCAATCCATCAATGGAATGACTGAAATGAACAGAAAAGGCTGCAGTTCTGGGCACAGCTATGGAACAACCTAAAGAAATACAACAAGAATGCAGCTTGGATAAAGGAGGTAGATAAGAATAAAAACAAAGCTGAAATGAAAGAACTTGTCAAAAAAGCAGAAATGGTAGGGAAAAGGCAAGGAAGATCAACTTTTGTTCAACAACTCTTCCTGATAATGAAAGAGCCAACAAAAGGGGCAGCGCCAATAAACTACAAACCAATTACTTGCTTACCACTTGAACATTATCAGCATTGACAAAAATCATCATCAGTCAGTTGCAAAAGGCAGCATCACCTAGAACAGCTTATATCCTGTAATAATACCTTTAATACTATCAAACTACATCTGCCTACTCCAGGTCCTTGGGAAGGACAAAACAGGTGGATAAAAATATCAAATCCAGTCTGAACATTTGATTGACTTTGCAACAACTGTAAGGTCTGTTTTCTTCTCTTAACTTGCTGGCAGCCTGGACTGAAGTTGATTTCAAAAGCCTGAAGGTTGGGAATGCAAGTCTCTCAAGGCACAAAGTGTGAAAGGAGAGATTAAATATTAAAGATTTCTCATGTGTGTGTGTGTGGGGGGGGGAAATACAGGAATGGTGTTTTTGAATCTAGACCAGAACTGGTTTGGACACACCACTGTTGCTCAGAATAAGCTTAAGGCACTATTCTAGCTTTCCACCACTCTAGCATCTCCCAGGTTGCAGCTTGACCATAGTTCTCATTAGTCCAACTTCAGCTGGAGATTTGGAAAGGCTGTGTTGAAGATGAGGCTTTGTGGGTTTGGAGAATGCCATTTTCAGGTCCCCCTCTATTTTCTCTTTCACAGGGAAAGGCGAGAGCTAACACTATTTTCCATTTGGAAGACTCTGGGTCCTTTTGCAAGCTGCATGCTGGCATCTCACCAGTGCCACAAATCTATCCCTATTCAAGCAAATTTAAAGGAACCTAAAACGAGCAAGGGTGGAGCAAGGGACACAAGTGCAAAGGGCTTTTTTCACCTTCATTAAGACCCCCATCCCCCACCGACTCCGGTGCAAGCAGAACTCCAGAGCCATGGAGGAAAAGGGGGGGGGGGAAATGTGTGTGTGTGTGTGTGTGTGTGTGTGTGTGTGTGTGTGTGTGTGTGTGTGTGTGTGCGCCACCTTCCCAGCCCTGCCTCTGCCAGCTGGTACCTTCCTCAGTCCGCTGAAGGGGACGTTGAGCGGCAGGCAAAAGAGGTTCTCCACCAGTTGCTCGAAGGCCCCGGAAAGCTCCTCGAACTGCTCCTCCTCCAGCCGGAGCCCCAGCAGGATCCGCGCAGCGATGCGGAAAGTCAGCGCCTTGGCCGAGGCGTAGACGGCGATGGGCCCCGGGCGGCGGCACCAGCCGCGCAGTTCCCAGCTCACCAGGCGCTGGATTCGGGGCAGGTAGACCTCCAGGGCGGCGCGGCTGAAGACGCGGGCCAGGATCTGCGCGCGAAGGGAGAGGCAGAGCGCGAGAGGCGGGGCGGGCAGCGGCCGCGAGGGCTGCTCCACGCCGAGTTGAAGCGCGGGGAATCTCCCGGCTCCGCTAAGCCCGGTCGGGGAGAGGCTCCAGGCGCCCCTTGCTGCGCGGCTTCCTCTTCCCGGGCGTCCCGAGGACCGGCCGAGGAAACCCGCCCTCGCGTAGCCCCTCATACCCGGCCTCCCGAAGGCCCTGCGGTCCAGCCCACCGCGAGAGCAGCCGCTGGGGTGAAGCCCGCCCGGGAAAGCCTGCCGCGCCGGCCCCGCTTGCCCGCCCTCCTTACCTTCCTCCTCTGCCGGTGCGTCTCGGCGCGGGCGTTGAGCAGCGTGTGCGAGCCCAGCAGGATCTGGGTGCTGAGCGGCCACTGGGCGCTGACCAGGCTGTGCTCACCCAGCAGGATCTTGCGCACGTTCTCGGCGCCGCTCACGCGCACCACCGGCTTGCCCAGCAGGTGCGTCTTGAACACGGCGCCGTAGCGCTGCCGCCGGGAACTGTGAAAATGGGAGCCCTGCTCGGTCGGGGGAGGGGGGAGAGAGAAAGAGAGGGAGGAAGGGAGAAGGAGAAAGAGAACGAGGCGGAGGGAGGGAGAGAAAAAGGGAGAAGAGGGAGAAGCAGGGGAAGGGAAAGAGGGAAAAAGAAAGACAGAGGGAGGGAGAGAGGAAGGGAAGAGAACGAGAGGAAAGAGAAAGAGTCAAAGAGGGAGGGAGAGGGGAAGAGAAAGAGACAGAGGGAGGGAAATGGGAGGGAAGAGAGAGGGAGAGGGACGGGGAGAGAGAGAGAGAGAGGGAGAGAGAGAGAGAGACGAGAGTCTGGCGAGAGTCAATTGCTACTGGCAAATTGGCGCTGCCTTTTTGCCCTGCTAAAGGTCGACAAGTCCTGGGTATTTCTGCGCAAGCGCAGAGCACCTTTCTCTTGGCGCCCAAATGGCCCAGATGTTCAGCTCCTGCCGGGCTTAGCTAGTCCGGAGGTCAACTTTGATCCCAGAATGAGCGAGATCGACGGGAGCGCAAGTTTCATTTGGGGCGGCTTTAAGTCCTCTTTGTCCTCCCACATTACTGGGAGCGTGAAGTGGCGACGGGCCTCGCCTCCGGCCGATCGGTTTTCAAATGCTGGGGATCAAACCCTAAGGAGGGAGGAGCCGGGGCCGAGAGCCACCTTCTCCTCCTCGCCTCAATTTGGGGAATAACTCTTTGAAGTGGGTGGAAACTGGGGCTGTTTTCCCAACAGGCGGAAATAGGGAGCGAACGGGCTGAGCGCCTTGTGGAGATTTTAAAATGGAGGATGGCCTTAAGCAAGTGCAGAGAGCCTCGCCTTCAACCAGCAACAAAGTTTCCAAACGCAAGGCAGAATTTCCGGGCCTTAACGGCTAGGAAACCCCGGGTTCAAGCCCAGAACTGGCGGGAAGACTTTAAGCCAAGCCCTTTTCCTGACCAAGGGACTGACGGGAGGTAACCGTGGGGTGGGCGGCCCCGCCTTGAGGGCCCCAAAAGCAGCGACCGTGCTGGGCCGCCCCGTCTCGGGTGCTCACCTGGATCAGCCAGTGCAGCGTCTCTCCAAAGAAGGGCCACCCCATGGAGCCCCTGGGCAGCGGCAGGGCGCTGGCGCGGTCTCGGCTCAGGCTCCAGCGCAGGGCCCAGAGGTGGCGGGCCGCGACCAGCAGGAGTCCCGCGGCGGCCGCGGCAGCCAGCGCGACTTCTAGCCAAGCCAGCGCGTCGCCGGAACCCCCCGACGGCCGCGCCTCCTGGCCGGCTTTGGCTGCCGGGAGAAGAGAGAAGGACTCAGCTGGAGGTGGGGGAGAAAAACGGGAGGGGCACCCTTCTCCCCTTCCTTTCCATCGCCTGGAAGGGGAGGTTGTGTGTCCGAGGGCGCTGCCCGGAATCCCGGCTCCTTCCTCTCCCGACTTGGATTCGACTTAGTTTGGAGAGGGCTGCCGGCAGCCTTCGGTTCCCTTTCCCTCCCTCCCACCCCCGGCTTCCAGCGCCTGTTCTACCGGGACACGTCGTCGGAAGTCGGTTCGGCCCTGCAGAAGGGGCAGCGTGGAGCTAGCCTGGGGCTCCGGAGCTGTTGCCACCTTCTCGAACTCCTCTCCCTCCCGCCTTCATTTCCCGAGCCAGCTGTCAATGAGCAGCCCGGCTTGACCTACCCATGGCCGAGTGAGGCTTGGCGGGGTCCCGCGCAACCTCCCTTTGCTCCCCTCGATGTTTTAATTCTTGTTCTTTGCTTGGGCCTTTATAGAGCGCCGCCGACCCACCTTCAGGGATGACGTCGCCGCTTGATATTCAAAGCGGGGCCCGAAACGGCTGCGATTGGCGCCCGGGAGGGTCCGCGACGAGCGGAGTGGAGAATGGGGGGGCAAGCGGGGGGGGGGAATCTCGTCTTCTGGGTAAGCGGGGGAGCATCACTCAGGTAAGCCAGAGCAGCGTCTCCCTCCTGCGATTCCGAGTCAAGGGCAATTTCTAGCCACGGAGGCGAACGACCTCTCCTGCACCCCCACAGGTGGCCCGCTGGAGGCTCAAACGCTTCGGTTGTCTATTGTCCTGGGCCAGCGGCAGGCAACCTTGGCTCTTTTATGACTCGTGGACTTCAACTCCCAGAATTCCTATTCCTCAAACTGAGCCATCGTGGGGGTCTCCCAAAGCTCCAGATTCGCTCTTCCGTCACTGCTAGCCAGGAATGAAGCCCAACATCCATTAAAATGTAAATGTTAATCTTCAAGGAAAGAAAATGCAAGGTGGAACGAGCTTAAATGTGCAGCCCACTCGGGAGGGTGTCCATCCCAGCACCAAGGGGGCAAGACTAAAAAAGAACCTCCGCATCCTTTATTGGGAGCTGAGCTCCACCGATTTGTTTAGGGGGCCTGACTTTCAGCTAAATTTGGAGGAAAGTGTTAAGGGAGACGCCTCGCCAAAGCCAGTGTATCAGCTCAGAGATGTTGGAGTGCAGTTCCCACCAAAAAAAGGAGATTGGGAAAAGGAGCCGACTAAGCGTCGCCCGTTTTCCAGTTAAAGACAATGCTGCAAGGTAGAATTTAGGATTCGTGTCAGTCAGGTCAGCTTTCAGGATACTCCGTTCCAGTCTTGTATCCTGGGTACACTTTGTAGCTGCGAAGGCTACAAAGGGAGATATTCTCAGAATTAATAAAGATCAAGGTGCATTCCTCACAACGAGTGATTTACAGCCATTTAGGGTGTCGCCCACCCAACAAAATAACGATCTCGAGATTAGCTTCAGAACTCCATCGTGCTGGCAGGGTAGAAAGGGTTATAAACCACTAGTTACGAAATGCCCCAAGATTTTAGCCGGTCAAACAAGCCAAGACAGGAAATCTGGCGAATGGTGGGGGGGGGGTTAGTTTGCAGAAACGGACTGGATTCTCGCATCCCGCTAGTAAGCGGTGGTTTGCTTGAGCATCTCTTTTCGTTGAGCCGCACGATTTGACGGATGGCCAAGCGGTTTGACTCTCAACGCGCTGTGTGAACCCAAGTATTTTGACGGTGCAGATTGGAATGACAAAGGGAGTTTCTTCCCTCAATCCCTCATAGGCCAGCAGTCGCCTGCGCCACGCGAACCAAGTTGCTCTGATCAAGACCAAGACTTCGACACCGCTTCATAGCTACTGGTTTCTCACGCAGTCTAGTATCATCCGACTAGAGTCACAACGATGCCCCGTGGCAGCCTAATAGTTTCTTTTCGGAGATAAGTTTCCTTTCAGGAATCCGACTTTCCGCGTTCCTCCCGGTTACCCGCAAGTAAGGCGGAGGGGATCCGAAGTCTCGGTCGGCTTGAATTCGCAACCGGGGGATTTACAGAGGGCTGACTGCAACTGGTACACGACCCCACACACACACGCGCGCGCGCGCGCGCGCGCGGAAGGTCTCTGCGCCTCAGAGCTTCCACTTTGGAGCTGGGATCCAGTCCTTGGGCGCTCTGGCACAAGGGCTGCTGCTTGTGTCAGAGAGGAGGGCCGGGGTACTTAATCGCAAAAGCTCGCTTTTTTCGCTCTTCACCCTGGATGCCACAAACCTGGCTTGGCATATCTCCAAGGACTAAAGTCTTCAGTCCGCCTGCCAGCAAGTCGGTTCGGAGAGGCTTTGGGACAAGAACTTGCGCCACTCGGAAGTGTAAAGGCTTCACGGGAAGCCAAGTTTGCAACTGCTGCCCTGTCCCAGTCAACCGGAGACAACACCCATCAACTTGAACCAGGTATATAACCATCTTTGGGATGAATGGGAAAGTTGCTGACCCCCTCCCCTCAGCAAATCCCAATTGGCACCAGACAGGGGACCCACTAAATCCAGTGGTGGGATTCAGGCAGTTCGCACCAGTTGGGTAAAACTGAACTGGTTTTGTTGCTCAGGCCCAGAATGGACTTCTGGAAGCGGTATCCACACAGAGAAACGGTTGTTTGCATATTTGAATCCCACCACTGCCTAAATCTCTCATCTTTTACAAACGAAAAGAGCTTTGCCGCTTCCCGGAAGGGGAGGAAAGCTCTGGATCCCTCGGAAGACCCCAGAATGCCGTCAGGCGGTTGGACCTCTGTGCCATCGGCCTCCACCAGAGTGCGCGAAGCCTCAGTTCCCCGTTTGGAGCGTACTGACCCGCTGGACAGTTGCTCCCCTCCCGTCCCTAAATCCCGAGAAAAACTTATCGAAGGCAGCTCGCATCTTTGCTGCAGAGGAAAGATGCTCTGGCTTCTCTTTGAAAGCGTCCGGCCAATCGGATCTTCGCGGTTCTAGAAAGAGCCGCCAGCCGCGCAACACCGAGGGAAATGTAGAAGGCGGATAATCCGCTGGAGGAAAACACGCCCAGGTTCCTTTGCCTGTAGCATGTGAACGGCGCATCCAGTTAAAGGAAGCTCCAGGTTTGCACGAGCCAGTTCAGCAGGACCGTCAAATAATTTAATCAGCTGCGAGGAATGGGAAGAAAGTGGACATTCTCTACAAGTCCCACAGTTATGGGGCATTCCCTTCAGGATACATTCGCTTGTCTTCCCAGCAAGGCCGCTCCCTGGCAGAAGGGGGGGCACCTAGACCCAGGAAACCTCCCTCCCCCAGTGCCCCACACCCAACGCTGGCCGATCCCCGGAGAAAAATGGAAGGGCGGGAGGCTGCTATCCAGCGTCAAAGTCGTTCGGACACCATCGGGACCGAGTTCCAGTTAGGTAGTTTAAAGGGTACTACAAAATGGCTCCCCGCACTTTTTGGCTCCCCCACCTGAAAAAAGGGAGAAATTCTGATGTCAGGGTTACTTAAGGCTTACAACAAACAAATATAATGCGGAGGCAGGGAAGCAGAGGGGCAAGTAGGAAACGTCCGAGTCGAGAAAAATCGCTGCTTGGAAAATGGGACCTTGGAGCAGAAGACACTAAATGGCCTTTCGGGGACGCCGGGGAGGACCATGAGGTCTTCTCCTAAAATCGTATTTACAATCGAGTACGGCAGGGACAGCCAATACAGGCAGAGGCCCGCTTCCCCTTGGCAAGGCTTGCCCTCCTCTTCAAGGGGTGCCACGCAGGGAAGGAGCTCTTCCCTTCGGCCGGTCCCTTCCAGGGCCTCCTTCTCGTTCTCCGTCAAATCAGCGGCCCTTTCACCGGAACCAGCTTCTCGGGAGCCCGGCTCGGCGGCGGATTGGGTGGGGTGAGGTGGGGCGGGACCGCTTTCACGGGTGCTGGGCGATGCAGTTGGCCAATCCCCGGAGCTGCCGCACCACCGTCTCGATGAGCTTCTGCTTGTCGCGGTCGTTCTTCCGGAACTGGGCAAAAAGGTGGTTCTTTTTGTTCACATCTTTCATCCTGAAAGGGAAGCCGAGAAAATGGAAGGTCAGGGAGCTCTTGGAGAACCCCGCACGGCACCCAATCCACGAACTCACCCTGGGGTTTTCTTCCAGCCTCCACCAGAAAGTCTGGAAGCCCAAAGCGGCTTCCAGGAAGGGCTTGGGGGGGGGGGTTGAAGGACAGGACCGCAAAGGTAAGCCAGTTCTCTCCCCACTTCCTTATAAGACCGAAGTCCCGGAAAAACAGTTGGGCGGGGTGTGTGTTTTTTTGGAGGGGGGGGTCAACAGGTCTCCACTATCTCGGAAGGCTTGAGCCCCTCTGTTTCTTGGGGAAAATAATTAGGACTTGGAGATCGCCCCAGTTGGGCCTGTGAGACTTGGAAATGCCCTGAATGAGGTCAGTTCAATAGAGCAGCTATTTCTATCCGAAACTCACACGTTTACAATGCTGAGGAGGAAGACTGCAGTTCCAAGAAACCCGCGTGCAGCCCCCAGCAAAAAAAAAAAAAGAGAGCAAAAAGCCGAAGCGCAGGGCAAGGTCACTTTAAGGAGCTGGACCCCCGCCTGGCTCCATTACAAAGAACCATCCAAACTTTGGCTCTTTCCACAAAGCTTCCCAACAGTTTTGAAGTGAATCCTGGGGAACTGATTCCAGATCGAAACGAATCGAAACAATGCTTACCCTCGGTGGACTCTGCCAAACGTCCCGGCGTTGCAAGCAGGAAGGGGAGGCGGGAAGGGAGAGAAAGAGCGCAAACGAGTTAGCAAACACAGAAATACCTGTAGAAATACCCGGGAAAGTTGGGAGAGAACATCGCAGCCACAAATCAGACACCCCCCCCCATATTTATTATTCAGGTTTACCCAGCCAACTGATCTTTATTCTCTTGAGCTCCCTTTAATTTTTAAAGTTAAAAAAACTAGCCCAATTTGAGGAATAGCCAGGCCACCGGCCACCTTGTTTTAACCAGAAGGTCAACAATTTGCCGAGTCCGGATCCAACGGACTTCGAAACACAACTACCGATTGATTTGCTGAATGATCCAAAGGGCGGCGGGGGAGGGGAGGGAGAGAGAAACCGAAAGGAATGCTGGAGATCAGAGGAGATCAGCTGAAGTGCAAAAGCGCCGCGGAAAGGCGTCCGAGAAAGCCCGAACGCTAAGCCAGGGGAAGCGCGCTCTTCGGACGTTCAGCTCTGGAGACCCCAGCGGGCCCTGTTTCAAAGACCGGGGTTGGGGGGGGGGAGAAGGGTATTTTCTTGTTTGATGTTCCGGCAGATTCAGGAGAAGAGGCGCTCCACCCGCAAACCTTCCCAATCAGGTGCTCGGCCACCGCTCGGCCCGAAGGTGCAGACCCCGCAGTTTTAGGCTTCTGGAGGGAACGGCTGGCTCTTCTTCGGGGTGCTTATCTTAGTCGTTTTTAAGCGGGGCGTTTGGCGACTGGGAAGCAGAAAGGCCAAACGGAACCGGAGCGCAGCCGCGGCTTTTCCGTTCAAACCCGGCCACTTACTTCTCCAAGAGGGCCAAAGCTGTGCTGGGGTTGACGCGCAGGTACTTGGAGCTGGGCTGCCCGTAATCGGCCAGGTAGGTCGACCAGTCCCACACCATGAAGAGATCCAGGAGCTGCGGGAGACAAAGCGACAGAGAAGGATCAGGTCAAGGATCAGGCGGCTTCATCGGGACGAGCCTGCAACACCCACCCAGCCCCGTCGCCCCTAAGCGCCTTTCCCGTCCCTCCTTGCACGTTGCCAGACAGTCTAGCCGAGACAGTCGGGAAAGCGCAGGGAAGAGAATTCCCCCGGAGTCCATTCATTTCAAACCCTTCTGGGTGTATCCGGGGACGCTTTTTCGCTGCTCCGAACATGCTTAATAAGGATGCATTAAAACTAAGAACCCGATCCTGATGATGTGACGGCCGGACCGGATCTGCCTCTGGCCTCTCTCCCCCCCGCACCCCCCGCCCCCCCGCCGCTCTTTCCCGGGTTCAGAATCTGCCGCTGGAGCTGCCGTCAAATCCCGGCGTAATCTCTTAAAAGCCGGGGGTGACTCTGGCAGGGAAGCGGCAGCCCCGTCTCCAATTTGAAGTCCTAATCCCCGCTAAACCACTTAAACCCGACTTCCGAGCCGCGGCTCTCCATTGTTTCAGGCTGTCGACCCCCTGGCCTGCGACTTGGGCGCGGATCAGAGCCTCCACCGGTCTCCCCTCCGCCCCCCGAAATCCCCATCCCGGCGGTTCCTGCGAGCTGGCTTGTTTTGACTTCGCGCCGAGCCGAGCCGAACCCGCTGGAGGCGGCGGCCGGAACGCTCTCACGGGCCCCTTGATCTCGTAATTAAGGGGCTCGGCGCGCGATTTCCTCTCCGCCTTAATCCGAGGGAAGGAGTCGGGAACGGCGGCCAGAAGCGTCAGTTAAGCAGCGCGATCCCCGCCGCCTCGGGGGACACCTGACACTTCCCGCTAGGCCTTTGGCGGCGCTCCGGCTTGCCCGGGGAGAGATCGGATTTCCCGCGGCCTCCCACGCGGAGCAGCACCGTTCGCGAGCCGTTCCCACGCGGGGAGACCGGAGGGCCCAGAAGAGGAAGGGGGGAGGCAGCTGGGCCGCGCTGAAACTGATCCCTCTGAGCCGAGGGGGGAGAGGAGAAAAGCGGCCTTTGGGATACTGTGGCTCTTCAGCCCTGCCCGGCGTTAATCGCGATAGCTGCTCCATTTTCCTAGCCGTGAAGAAAGAGCATCGCGATTTTTATAAGCTTTCTTTCTTTCCCTCCGAAAAAGACCAACAGGCCGGCTATCCCTAGAAAAGGGAGACGTGTCCAAAAATAAAAAAATGGCAGACACGATGTGATCGAAGCTCCACCCATCATTTATGGGCATTGGCCATAGAAAAGCACACAACACATTTTTTAAAAAAAGACATTATATCTCTTATTACTCAGGGTGGATCTACTGGCCAACTCACTAGTTTGTATCCAGTTCAGTGTGATTTTTTTTTTTTCTGAATTGCTAGCTGAGCAACTCCCTACTCAATTGTCTCTCCTGTAGCTGGGAAAGAAGGAGCTTGTGGGACGCGCTTTAATTAAAATTTCAATGCTACCGAGAAAAGGCACTTAAAACCTTGATTAGTCTTATTTAACTTTTATACTTAAATCCTTTTTACATGGGAGGAGTAAGCTGGCACCAAACAGGTGTCAGTAAATCAATAAGGAGAATGTGGCAAACCTACAGCCTAGGCCAGGGGTAGGCAACCTTGGCTCATTTATGACTAGTGGACTTCAACTCCCAGAATTCCTGAGCTGGCTCAGGAATTCTGGGAGTTGAAGTCCACGAGTCATAAAAGACCCAAAGTTGCCTACCCCTGGCCTAGGCAGACCTGGATGTTGTTTTTAAGATGACATTGTGTTTCTTTGTCAATAAAAACTTTCATTCATTTGTCCCCTTCATATCTTCAATGCAAGGGGATAAACCAGCCTCAAAGGATTGTTAGGGAGGAAAAATGGATTGCTATGTGCGCTTCCTATGAGCTCCTGGTGGAAAGATGGGATATAAATCTAATAATAAATATAAAACATCAACACAGTAAGATATTTTTACTGAAAAGACCCCACAAACCTAAGATTCCAGTGCTTGTACTTTTGTACAATATGTCTGAATTTAAGGGTCCAGTCACTCATCACTGGGAGCTAGCTCCTTCTTGCTCATATTATGCTTAAGAAACAGGAATATTTTTTTTTACATTGCCATGATGCTGAACTTTCTTATTTAAAATTAAATAAGGCAAGGATAGCATGGCCCCCAGAATAAATCCTTGTGCACCTCTGAACATCTAGTAAACAAAAATAAAAAAAACCTCATCATTTCTGCTAGGTGAACAAATGCAGATTGGAATCACATTTTCCCTCCCCATTTTTTTTTCCTTTGTGGCACTTTTCTAAATGAACCTGCCCCAAGACAAGCCACCTTTGCACCACCACCTTCAATGCCACAAGGAGAAATCTAAACTGGCTGGAATGACCCAGGCCTCCATCCCATTCTGCAGGATCTGCTATAGTACACTCTGTGGGTGGGGGGTGGAAACAAAAAGGGAAACTGTCACCAGTGTGAGATGCAGTGTTTGCTTTGTCTCTTTGTGACTCACTTTGGCTTGTGGTTCAGTGGCTCTGACTGCCAGTCTGCTTCTGGGCCCAATGCGATAGTAGGCTACTGGAGTGGCTGCCTTTCCAGATAGAAGTATAATTCCCATAATTAAAGCTCAGCTTTTAAAGCATTTTCAATATGCAAACACATATGAAATCACATTGGAAAAACCCAGGACTGGGCTTTTCCAATGTGATTTCTACAACTTTCTCTAATTTTTTTCCATTTCTGTCCTACTGGGATGTTTTAGGTTTTTAAGGTTACCATGCCTCATGCACTTCTCTGAAAATAAGACCCTCTGAACTGTCTGATACTTACTTTTGAACTGAAACATTTAGGAATGCCCCGTTTTACATTTTAAGACATCCTGGAAGGCTTTTCTGATTCAGAAACTAATGCAGACAATTCATTAACACATCAACACTGCATGCTTGGGCACAAATAGGCCTCATTCAACTGAACAAAGCTTCCTTCCAGATAAACAAGTAAAAATTGTAGCCAGAAGAAGTTAGTAATACAGTCATAACCTATTGACGTATCACTGATACTTGTCTAAATAATTCATCAACATTTTCCAAAACATGCTACAGTATTGTACTTAAGCCATGGATAACAGTATTTGCTCTTGGCCCTGGGGAGACACCAGCTCTAGTTGACCACAACAGCTCACCAAGTCTATTTGGGGCAGTCATTCTCTGTCAGTCTAGTCTACTTCACAGGGTGGTTTTAGGGGAACATGGGAGGAACATTGTGTATGCTACCTGGAGTTCCTGAATAAAAGGCTGAACAGAAATCCAAAAAATAAATAATAAATGAAAACCTGAAGCCTAAATCCCCATGTAAGCCTAGGGGAGAAGCTTAAACGGGGAAGTGCTGCAACTGTCAATGCTGTGACTCTCAATAACTCTCAATACGAGTAGGCTGAATAGATAATACGATTTCAGCAAAATGCAGTTCTATAACAATTGTGTAAGCCGTTCATACGTAATGAACTTTTCTATTATGGTATTACTTTTTGACTTTGCCAAATCTGTACCTAATAACTGGGCATGCAGCTGCAAAATAAAATATTTAACCAACAGCGATTAATGTCATGGGTTTCTGTAATTATCATTTTTCAAATAGATCGGTTAATTGTCACTGATGAATGGAAGGCTTCAAGCTAGCAAAATATCTTTTGTTTCTCATTTATACAAAGCGGCATGCTTCAGGCATTCAAGGATCTCAAAATCAAATAAGATACTGGTCAACTTCTTAAACCCAAAAACTTCATGAGTTTTCCATTTTTTTTGATAACTTCTACATTAAAATATCTACAAGATTTCTACACACCAGCTAAATATTAACATAAAGTTATTTTGTCATGCTTTTCATCTTATAAAGCAATATATATTCTCCAGATATATTTTTTTTCTGGTATTGATTTATTGTTTTCCAATTAGTATTTATTAAATGAAGGAAATAATATTAAATAATAGGAAAAAATAAGAAAAAATAGGAAAATAAATTGTAAATAAAGAGGTTTACAAGCATTCTAAAATTTATAAGAAAAGTTTTCCAACTGACACTGATAGATATATTTTATATGAACATTGAAATAAGTAACATAAATTGCTATTAAAATCAGATTATTGTTCAATTAACATGCAGTTGTAACCAACAACGTTCAGTTTATAAATTATAAAATGAGAAAAGAAGAAAACATTAAGTTTTATCTAATCTGAAAAAATATGTATTTAGCAGATCAGAAGAAAGGAAAAGAAAAAAAAATATGTTATAGTCTTATGTTAAGAGAAAATCAAACTTTGGATATGGTATGAATACCTTTGTAGATTCCATTAATGTTCCATTGTTGCATACCACTTATTTTGTTTAAATTCTATATCCATTTGAATTTATAATTCATAACTTGTTCATTTTCTGAACTGTATTACAATGTATAGGTACAATGAATGATCTGAATCTTGGGCAACAAATTCAGTCAATCTCCTTGTTTTTTGTTATTCCTTTAGGACTATATTGCTTATTTGTAGATTTGGAAACCAGTGTGATACACTGACTACTATATTTAAAGTATCTCAGAAGTCTTCATTATTTTATTAATAATTCTTATTAATAAATGAGAATGAATGACTATCCCTCTACTGGTAATTTTTTTTCTGGACACTCTCCTTCATAAATAAATATCACAAAAAGAGGTGATAAATGTAGTCTAATTCTTTTTCAGTATTTATCCCATAGTTTAAAAATGCTAATTAGTGAATAAGTTGAATTCCTGAAAGTCCTGCCCTTTCCACAGAAGCAATTCAACCAAAAGATTAAGTCACATTTGAACTTGTGCCAAGCCCTGCACTAAACTGGAAAGTGTTAGCATTGAGATAGTGGAGCTGGTTATTTAAAGTAATGATGAATTGCACTAACTTCTTTACCTCTCCTCCCAGTTATACCCAATTGGAGAACTGGGGACAAGTTCTAAGGAAAGATCATCAGTCTT